GTGAACTCCCTTGTGATCTCCAGACTCGACTATTGCAATAGTCTCTTATGTGACATCCCAAAGTACCAGAGAGATAAGTTTCAAAGAATTCAGAATACCGCATCTCGAATGGTAACAGAAGCCTTCAGTTTTGACCATATAACACACATATTTAAGAGCCTGCCGCCTGGCTACCTGTGGAAGCAAGGGTTAACTTTAAGATTCTTCTTATCACATATAAAATCTTAAATGGACAATCTTCTGGATATCTGGAACCTCTGATTCAGGAATATCATCCATAAAGAGCAATACGATCATCATCCCGTTCGCAATTATGCAGCCCAGCCATAAAAACCAAAATGGAGGACGCGCGTTTTCTACCGCAGCACCTCAATTATGGTACACTATTATACCTGCCAACTTTTTCTGAGATGTAGGCGTGAGATTTTTATCCTGGGAGTGCTGGGATTTTTGAAAACGACACGATCATTTCCGAAGATTCCCGAAGAAGTCCGAAGTCTTCCGAAGACGTCCGAAGTCTGCCGAAGACGTCCGAAGTCTGCCGAAGGCGAAGTTATCGAGAAAACGCTTATCCACAAAATCAGAGATCGCGAGGAAGGTATTGTCATTTATTCATTTTACACATGGTTTTCGTTCGTTGGAAATTGTGTCCAGCAAGACGACAACAACTCACATTTTTCAGTCAGGCGTGAGAAATTGGTCCGCAGGCGTGAGCGGGCGTGAGATCGAAGTTTTCAACCCGCAGGCGCGAGACTCACGCCTAAGGCGTGAGAGTTGGCAGGTATACACTATCCCAGAATATATCAAAAATGCAGAGAGTGTTGCTACATTCAAGACGAAACTTAAAAGATTATTATTCAAGGAATATTTCCAATGATTTTTATTAACATTTTTCTATAGTTTTTAAAAGTGTACAATATGTTTAATATGTCATATAGGCTAGAGATTTTTCTTGTTTTCTTTCTTTTTCTTATCCATGTAAAGCGCATTGAGGATGGAAATGCGCTCAATAAGATCACATAGTCATATTTTTGTTATTATTATTATTATTACTATTACTATTTTCCTTAAGTAGGTCTGATATGCACAGCTCCAAGCTATTAAAATTCCATTAAAAAAATGAGGAAATCTTAGGTTGTAAAAGAGTTCGTTCCAGGTACTGCTGCGAAAGATAGTGCTTTTACTTTGATATTAATCCCAATATAATAGTGATAATGATAATGATACTACTGATAATCTTTATACAGGGAGCTCACTTCACAGAAGGGTTATTTTTAGTGAGGGCCCGTAAAGCGAAACAAAAACAAAAAAATAAATACGTAATAGTAATACTAAGAAACTGAAGAGTTAAGAACTAAAATAAGGTACAGGTTAAAATTTTTTAAACCGTCAGATAGATTAAAATATTAAAAGCTATAAAATATCTAAAATGAATAGCTATTAATGCTCTGTTGTGAAAAGAAGAAGGGAGTTAATTTCTTTATAAGATGCGTCTAAAAGGTTCCATTAATGTCTCTGCTTTCGGTAATTCCTTTTAACGCGAGGAAGACGGAAATCATTCCTTCTTTTAGTGTTATAACTATGGATGTCTGAGTTTCTCAAACAGTTCTCAACAAATGTTTCACGTTCTATCGACATCGAGTGTTTTACACGACATAAAGTACTGTAAATAGGCCATTTCCGAGTTCCCCCGGGCCTCTCTTTCAAAACGAGGGTAGGTGCTCAGCCTTTGATATGGAAATCATTTTTCATTCTCATGCAAATAAAACTCATTTTCACAAGAAAGGTTGTGCACCTAGCCTCATTTCGAAAGTGAGGGTTTTTGGAACTCGGAAGTGGCCTATTGATTTGTTATGTTGAAGTTGCGAGTAAGACTGGTGGTTTTTGTGTCGAATTGCATTATGGGACTGTTCGTGGAACGCTATCTTTTCTTCTTAGGTTGCACAGGAAAGTAGGTCAAAATTCGTCCCTCAAAACCGTCCCATAATGCAATTCGACACAACGCCATCGCAGTCTCAACCGCTACTTCACAGTAGCCTTCTGAAAGGATAAAAGAAACTTGTGATTGTAAATCCATTGATTCTTGCAATAATATTTAGATTCGGGGTTACTTTTCAGTGGCCAAGAATTTTAGTCCTGTAAAGATACTTGCTCAGCATTTATAGCCCATGTACGTTCGGTATATTAAAATTCTAACATGACTCCAACGTTTTCTGGTAATTTTTCTATATTTGGTTAGGTTTTATTTGTGCTCAAGTCTTGCGAGACAGTGGAGAAGTGAAAAATTTGGAATTTTGTCCCTAAAGCCTCGGAGTCATGTTAGAATTTTAATATATCGAACGTGGGCTATTTTCTTTGTATTTTCTTTTAAAATTATTAACGCAATTTTTATTCAAATGAATTTTCCCGGAATAAACCACTCCTTTCGTTGTTCACCAACACCTTCTGAAGCGAACGAAGTGTACAAACAAGCGAACGATGTGCTTTTGTGCATGAAAATGATTCTCTTAGAAAAAATTGTCGTTTTTTTGATGTCTTGTTCAACTACGCCCTTCAGTTTGCAGTCACTTTCGAGGTGGAACATTCATGTACTAGCCAGTTGACCCAAGCAATCCTGCGAATACGACGGTAGGTTTTCGTGATCAAACAATGCTAGGGATAGAAATTTCTACAGACTTAGTTCCGTTGGCCGTGTCCAAATGTTCAGATAAATGTGCACAAAATGAATCCATTCAGTGCTCACCAATTACAGCTGACTCACTCGGTTTGTTCACGATCTGTTATTTAAACCTCATAGATAGTTTAAGGCATTAGGTTGTTTCTAAATGAGTTACCATGGCAACGCTAGTTGGGTTTTTCTTTTCCGCTTAGCCAAATAAACGATGTAACGTGTTTTCTTCGAATTGGATAACAGACAGTCAATTAAACATAGCGCAGAATGCCTATAATGCTCTATTGCGAGGACCACTTGGATAAACTGCGGGCGGGTGGTAAAGCCGATTCGTAATTGGTCTATATCAGGATAAATCCAAACGCCAAATGCAAAACTGATTGCACAGCTAGTTAGGGAAATTTATTATCCATCTGGTTAGACAATACTAACACACTTGTCTAACACTAGCCGGTTTCACGAGGAAATAGCGAAAGCAACGTTGGTTACCGCCAAAGCAAAGTAAAATTGTTTTGATTGAGTTTTAAGGTTTTCAAGTTTTTTTTTTTCGCAGAAGGCGGGATCTTTGTACTGGCAGTGTTGTGTTTGTAGCTAATATACAAATGTAACTCGACCCCAACAACGTCCGTCATTGAACAGGTATTTGTTTACATGGTTTGTTTTTGCATTTAACTTCGATTGACAAAAGTAGTTTTTCTCGGAAAATTGCATAACAATTAAGTGCGACTATGAGACTAACTTTGCTTCATCAGTCTCAAAAAATAAATAAATGAATGAATGAATAAATAATTAAATCAATGGCACTAATTAAAACAAATGAAGCTCCTTAAAAGTCGTACAAAACTACAAAATAAAGGGAGAAAATGCTGAAAATTTAGGCTGCACTCCTCCTTTTCTCCCCGGAAGTATTATTTTTCTCGGAACCATGTATTAGGTTCAATAATAAGGTGTTCATAACAACCATGTTCTTTTCATTTATTTGGATAAAGTAATCGTTTCGCTTATACTTCTCATTCAAAACAGGCCAGCTGACCAAGCAATCAATCAAGCAAGGAGAAATGCTTTTTCTCTTTGTTTGTCTGATTTTTTGTTTTCAGTATATAGAATATAGGTATTTCTTCACTCGACCCTAAGTGATACCGGTTTTGTTTTTTTCATGACGGACGGAGGGTAAACTGACGGAGAGTAAACTGTATTTAGCTTCCTTGACTACTTTGAGTCTTGCTCGCCAGCTTCGCACGACTTGCTGCTGTTCCTTTTTTCCCTCAACAGTCGAAGAAAAATTATTTCTAAGGTTCATATTTTACAACAGTGCATGTCCTAGGATGTCGCAGTAAATGCCAAGTTCTACTAACAGTGTATGCTATGCAGTATCTTAAACTGCATGTCGGTTACAAAAAGTGGCTTCTTTAAGGTCCTTTAGGGCATGAGCTGCTTTACGTGAGCATCGGATCGGATGTCTAAACGTAGAATTTAACCGTAGATTATATTATATGCAATTGTTTTTGCCCGGGCATTCATACAAAGAGTCACTAGCTCGCTCCTTTTCAGTGGAAGTTAAAAGTAAATGCTGGTACTGGGACTAGAACGTGTTAGCTGTAACAACGAACACCTCTTGACTTCCCACTGAAGAAGGGTTAGCCCAGAAATATCAGGAAACTTTAATTTGAATTTTTATGGAACTTTTTGCTCATAAATTCGTCGCAAATGGAGAAAGAAAAACTTACCTGCGTTTAAGCGGGCGCTTCAAATTTCTTAAACATGTCAACAAAAGCTGCCGACAATTCGGCCATCATTATCTGAACATATATTTTTTTTTGTCCACTTGGGTACGATGATGTCATAAATAAAACCGCTTTGAAAAGAACATGGAATGGGTTGCCGTAAAGGGACAGCCATTAGTCACGAAATTCTCCCCAGTCGTGTTTTGCGCATAGCTAACCTGGAGTTAACTAAAAATACTCCGCTTATGTTTAAAATGGACCTTGAAAAATAAGAGGAAGACATCAGGTTATTCTGCAATTTCTTTATAATGAACTTGATACTAAAAGTAGCAAAATTAATGACAAATCATGTACCAGAAGGCTATCTGATTTCAAGTTTAAAGCTCTTAGCTTCCGTTTCTACTGTCCATTTATAGACAATTATTAAGACAACCTTCTTTCCACGTGACATTGTCAGACCACTATTATTAGTGGTGAATTCCGACTGTTCACTTGACCCTTGTGTGTCACGCATGTATATTTTTCCTAGAATTAACCACTCCCTTCTTTGTTTGTGTACATCTTCTTAAGCGAAGAGTGTCGACCAGCGAGCGCTTCACGACTGCATGAGAATGAAGCTATTTGAAATGTATATCGCTCTTTTGATATGTCTTGTGCAAGTGCACGATTCAGTTTGCAGTCACTTTCGAGGTGGCACGTTTACGTACAGGCCAGTTGACCCGAGCAATCCTGCGAATTTGAGGGTAAGTTCCCAGGAAGAAATCGTCTTAACGATGTCAACTGTCGACGGAAATGATAACAGTTTAATATATTGCCGTAACCCTAGAACCCTGCAGGTGTTTTCGAGAAGGAATAACGCTAAGAATGGGTTATTCTTGCCTTTTCTCCCTTCTCTAAATGATATCTCACTGAAGTCTTAATGGGTAATGATAATTATGAAACATTGAAAGAGTTGTTGTCCATAAGCCCTGCACGTTGAAGTAACAACTTGTCCACCCTCATTCGTTGCGCAGAATTCAACCATAAAAATTGCCGAAAAAAAGGGAAAATTGTTCGTTTTCTTTAAAACTCTTACGAAGTAGCGTTTAATGATATGTTTTCAATACGGTTTGGTTAAATACTACATGTAGTTTGTCTTTAAATAAAGCGTTTCCGTGTCTCCCAATAAATGTTATACCTTGTTCTTTCTAAGAAAAGGCAGCTAATGGCGGAATTTTCTTTCAGACAGTATAACTTATTTTGAAAGGAACTGTCTGACTCAGTGCTTTTCTTGAAAATACATCACATTGTTCAGTTAATCTTGTACATGAAGAGTAATGTAAAATGATTTAGCGTGTACTATATTGAACCAAGGCAAACTAATGCAAAGATATTCCATTACAATTCAACGTAAGTTTTTATGATCAATTTCTGAGAATTTGCGTCTAGTTGGTAATCCCTAACCCTAACGTTAGACCTTAGCACCGTAAAGGCAACTTAATCGTGACAACTAACCTGATCTATTCAAAAAGATCGATCTAGGCAAACGCATATATACCTGTGTTTTGTAGGCATATCCTGCGCAATCCTAGGATTAATTAACAATTATTGCGTGAGGTTTTTACCATACCTGGAGTAATGGAGTTTGAGGTAAAAAGTAAGTGTTATTCGGCTTCGGCTGATAACATTTACTGAGACCTTGATTATTCTGGGTATCGCAAAAACCGACTCTAATATATGTTTTTATAATACACTGTTTTGAGGAAAATAACCACAATTAACACGCCAACGCACGAAACACGGTTTGACATTGCGGGTTATGGTGATCATGCATTGCGTGCGCAACCTACCAATGCTAGAGGATAATTTTAAATTATCCCAATCTTTAGGTTCCGCCAATTTTCACAACTGAATTTAGTTGTGATATATTTCTTAAAAAAAAAAATGAAAAATAGAAATAACAAAAAATAATAATAATTAAAAAAAAAAAACCTTTTTCACTTCGGCTGTCAAGCCATTCATTTACAGAAACACCGTGTACTGGCCTATTATCCAATGATAACATTAGCGAGTTTTTGTACAGGAAAACTCCTCAGTACTGTAAGCTACCACATTACACACATCATTTATTTCACACGCTAGGGATTTCTGTGAGCTAGTAGTTAGGGAAATGGTTATCCTGGCTCAGTCTTCGAATTTCCAGAATTGCATTAAAAAAACTAATAAAATCCCAGAATATGCAAGGGATTTTAAAAAAGAATACCTTTTAATAATAGGTATAGAAAAAATGTTTTCGTTTTTTTCAAGAATACGAAATAGGTTATAAAAAAATTTTTGCTTCTAGATATTCTGATACAATTAGGTATTCTATAAAAAGATTTTTAAAAGGTCAAGAAAGTGGTAAACTTAAAGATACTACTAATCTTGTTCTAAGAAAATATGATTTTTCTCATATTTATCGTTTATACCAAGATTTGGTTTTTGATTTTGAAAACGTTCAAATAAGAAGACCTTATAAAAACAAAGCTTTTAGAGATTTTTATAAGTTGTTTAGTAAATTTTATAAAAAAAGTAATAAATGTGTATGATGTTGTTGATGATGGAGAGTATATGAAGCCAATTGAATATAATTGTAAATCTTATATTGAATATTTTGATAATGGGAGTGATAGTGACGATAGTGGAAGGGATAGTGATGATATTTATAGTGATTAATTATAACTTAAACATTTACGTCTAATAATATAATCTTATTATAAGACGTCATGTCTAACCAATCAACTGATGGTTTTCAGGGTTCTCAACCCTTTATAACAGATAAACAATTTCAGAATTCATCTTTGGATGAAATAAGACATATAATAGCAGAAGAAAAAGAAGAACTTAAGAAAGATTATAAGGAATTAGGAAAAAGAAGAAAATTAATTAAACAATATAAAAAATTAAAAGAAGCTAGAGAAAAAGTAAAACAAGGTATAGATATAAAAAAAGAAATCAAAAAACCTAAACCCTCAGCCAAAACGGTGGTTCCTTTTAAAAAGATGAAAACATTTGACGAGTATTTTGAGGAATGTATAAAAAATAGAAAGATCCCAAAAGATACTCCTTCTTATTTTCGTGAAGCTCTTGGGCGTGCTATTTTAGAATATGACCAAGGACTTGAAAAAGAAAAATCAGCTTTTGAAGACTTTGCTGTTAAGTACACTATTCAAGGAATTCCTGGTCTTACTCCAATTCAGTTTTTTGAGCGAATCTATAAAACTTTAAAAGATTTTTTTACATATCATCGAAATATAAAATTTAAGATGATTTTGGTTTGTATCAGGGAAAAACAAACTATTCAACAAAATGTTGGTGTTGTAGGATTAGAAGAAGGTAAATCTTACTTTACTTCAGGTACGTATAATAATATTAAATCAACAGATGTTGACAAATTAATTAAAATATGTATAGATGGTATTGAAGGAGGTATTGAAAATTATCAAGAAACTGGAAGTGCATGGTATTTTAAAGAAGTTGAAAAACTTGAAATTCATACTGTTGAATATAATCCAACAAAGGGGTCATCTTACATTCCTCTTCCGGATTGGATATCAAATAAAAAAGCAATTGTTAATATTGAAAACAAAGTTGAGAAATGCTTTATTTGGTGTATACTTAGATATCTTCATCCAAGAAAAGATAATGATAGCCGATTGGCAGATTTAAAAAAGTATGAGTTTTCACTTAACACTAAAGGAATTACTTTTCCTATGAAATTAAAAGATATCACCAAATTTGAAAAACTTAATCCATCAATTCCAGGAATCAATGTCTTTTCAGTTAATGAAAGTAAAAATTTTTATCCTTTGAGAATGGCAACGAGAGATTTTTTAAATACTATTGATTTATTTTTGTATGAAGAAGATGGTGTTTCACATTATTCACTAATTAAAAACTTTACTCGTTTGATAAAGACGGAAAAAACTGCAAGTAAGAATGGTACAATATTTATTTGTAAGAAGTGTTTTACTCATTACACTAAAGAAGAATTATTACAAAAACATACCTTATATTGTTCAAATAATGAAACAGGTTCTGTAAAAATGCCTCAAAAAAACACAATGTTACATTTTAAAAATTACTACAAACAACTTCCTATTCCTTTTGTAGTTTATGCAGATTTTGAATGCTTTACCAAACCAATGAATACTTGCAGTCCTAATCCAAAAGAATCGTATAATTACAACTAACAAAAGCATGAACCATCAGGATTTTGTTTTTATATAAAATGAGTGGTTGATAAAAAATTTAAACCAATCATTTATTCAAAAACAAAAGAAGATGAAGATATATCAAAAGTATTTGTAGAAAAACTTACAGAAGTAACTAAAGGTATATATAATGATTTTTATCGTAGACCAAAACCTCTTAGGCTAACTCGAGCTGAACAAAAATCATTTGATGAAGCGGAAATTTGTCATGTTTGTAAAAAAGAATTAAAAAAAGATAAAGCAAGAGATCATTGTCATTTTACTGGCCAGTACCGTGGTGCAGCTCATAACAGTTGTAATTTGCAGTGTCGAAAACCAATGATTCTTCCAGTTATATTTCATAATCTTCAAGGATATGATGCTCATTTATTTATAAAACAACTTGCTCGTTTACCAGGTGATTTGAACTGTATTCCATCAACAGAGGAAAAATATATTTCCTTTTCTAAAAGTATTAAGGTTGATGAGTACAGGTCTAATAAAAGTGGGTTAATGGTTCCAATAAATTTTGAAATACGATTTTTAGATTCATTCAAGTTTCTTCAAACATCACTTGCCAATCCAGTTGGAAATTTACAACCAGGTGATTTCCATAATACAAAACAAGTATTTAAGAAAAATGTAAACCTACTAACTCGTAAGGGAGTTTATCCTTATGACTATGTTTCATCTCTCGAAAAACTATACGAAACACAATTACCTCCAAAAGAGGAATTCTATTCAAAGCTAAGTGATGGAGAAATAAGTGATGATGATTACTAACATACTATTAATGTATGGAATACCTTTGAATGTAAATCAATAAGAGATTATCATAATCTTTACCTAAAGTCTGATGTCCTACTTCTGTCAGATGTATTTGAAAACTTTAGAAAAACTTGTCTCAAACATTACAAGCTAGATCCAGCTCATTTTTACGCATCTCCCGGTCTAGCTTGGGATCCATGTCTCAAAGAAACAGGACAGGAATTACAGTTACTACATGATTATGATATGTTAATGATGTTTGAGCGAGGTATTCGTGGTGGAATATCTCACATATCAAAAAGATACGCAGAAGCGAATAATAAATACATGAAAGATTATAATCCTGATGAGGAGTCTAGTTATATTCAATATCTTGATGCAAACAATCTTTACGGCTGGGCAATGTCTCAACAACTTCCTACACATGGATTTAAATGGATGAGAAACCTAACAAAAGAGTCCGTAATGGAAATTCTAGAGGAAGCAAATCATAGTATGTCAAATCGAGGAAGAAAAGGCTATATATTTGAAGTTCATTTGGAATATCCTTCCAGCCTATGGGAAGATCATAATGACTATCCTCTAGCACCTGAGAAGATGATTGTTAATGGCGTTGAAAAATTAACTTGTCATTTTAAACCAAGAAAAAACTATGTTGTTCATTATCGAAATCTTAGACAATATCTTGAGATGGGAATGAGAATAACTGCCGTTCATAGAGGAATATCTTTTAACCAATCTTCTTGGATGGAACCATATAAAAGAAAAAATACAGAACTTCGAAAAACAGCAGCCAACAGTTTTGAGAAAGACTTTTCAAACTAATGAATAATTCAGTATTTGGAAAAACAATACAAAACATAAGGAAAAGACAGAATATACTTCTTATTGATAATCGTAAGAAAGCTGTCAAACTAACAAGTCGTCCAAACTTTGATAGAGTAACAATATTTGATAAAAATCTTATTGCTGTTCATATGAAGAAGACTGAAGTTTATTTTAACAAACCAGCATATGTTGGTCAAGCAATTCTAGATTTATCAAAAACATTAATGTTTGATTTTCATTATAACTACATTAAAAAGAAATATAAAGATAAAGCTGAGTTATTGTTTACTGATACGGACTCATTGATGTACCAAATTAAAACAGATGATTTTTACAAAGATATATCCCGTGACATACTAACCAAGTTTGACACTGATTATCCTCCTGATCACGAATCTGGAATACCAACAGGAGTTAACAAAAAAGTAATTGGGATGTTTAAAGATGAAGTAGCAGGAAAACAGATTACTTGTTTTGTTGGATTGCGTCCCAAACTTTACAGTTTTAGAATTGAAGAAGATAAAGAAGTACGTAAATGCAAAGGAATAAAGAAAAATGTTGTAAAAAAGAAATTAGATTTTGATGACTATGTTCAATGTTTATTTTTGGGCAAAAAACAAATGAGAAAAATAAAAATAATAAGAAGTGAAAATTATGATATATATTCAAAAGAAGTTAACAAAGTAGCTCTAAGTAATGAAGATGATAAACGCGAAGTACTCTTGGGAAAAGTAAAAACGATAGCTTTAAGGTAATAAAGTAAAAATAATAAATGTCATATACAGAAGATCAAATAAAGCAATATCTAGAAATATTGCATAATTATACTTGTCAAACTGTAGAGGAAGTGGATAATAGTAGAAAAGCTAAATGTTGTAATTGCCAAAGTGATAGTTTTACTATTGATTCTGGTTATAAAATCTGTGATTACTGTGGAGTAGCAAACGGTCATGTATTAGGTTTTTACGATGTTAAAGATTACGATAGATTATATTTTCGAAAAAAGAGTATTTATCAGAGAAAGTATCACTATGAGAAAAAGGTTAATCAAGTTTCTAAAAGAATAAACCTAACTGATGAACAAAAATATGAACTTTACAATAAACTAATGACAATAGACAATAATGTTATGGAAATACTAAACAAGCAATACTGTAGAAAGAGAATGATAAGTATTTTTTATTTAATCAAAAAACTTTTGGAAGAAATGGGTTGTGAAAAGAGCAAACTAGTTTATCTTAAGATTTCTCCACAAACTTTAGAGAATTATGAAAAGTGGTGGGATAGTTATAAATCACTCAACAACACCTCTGTGAAAAAACCAATAAATAATACCAGTTAGATAACCAAGTACTTCACATTCTTTGAAAGGAGTATTGATAGTATAAACACAACCTCTTCCAATTCTATAATGTTTCCAAAAAGCTTTGAAAGCGAGATTAAATATTAGATGATTTGTAATAATATTTGAATCTGAGTTAAGATAGTGTCTTGCTTCTGTTAGTCTGTAAATAATTTGATCAATGTCTAGTTTTTGAGTAAAGTACTTTATGTAGAGAAACTGGTAAACAAGACACGCTTTTATGAAGTTATCTGAATAAAATTGATTTTTATAAGTTGGGAAGTATAAGTTTACATATGCTACAATTGATTTGATCATTTCTATCTTATGTGTAGATAGAAAATTAATATAATTAAATATAAAAATGAGTGTTGTTATTACTAAAGAAGATACAAAAAAAGAAGGAATAAAGCTTCTTTCTGATTTAAGAGTATTTATTAAAGATTTAGAAAATTCTAAAGATTTAATTAAAAAAAACAAAAGAGGACCTTAGAATAGCAGAAAATGTTGCAATGTATTTCCAAGCAAAAAGAGAAAATAGACAAGAGTTTAATAGTTGTAGTTGGTTTGATATATATCAAAGTTATGCTATGAATAAAACAGAAGATGCAAGGGAAAAACTTTAAGAAGCAATTCCTTCTTCTGTTTCTTTTAGTCCTGATTTGGAAAGCATTGAAAAAATATTTCTTATGTTAGATTTTGAAATGGAATTAAATGAAGATTTGTATTATGATATTAAAAGGTTTTTATGTAAAAACTTTTTATTAATTGGTGTAGAATAGAAAATTAATTAAGGCTTTAAGTTTAATAATAAAAAATAAAGATGGAAAACACTTTAGAAAAATCTTTTACCAATAAACAACTTGGAATAAAGTTAAACTCATATATAGATGAAAAACTAAGGGTTTGGTTTAAAGCGAAAGAGGTAGCTCAAATATTAGGTTACAAAAATACGGAAAAAGCTATAAAGAGTCATGTAAGTGAAAATCATGAAAGAACTTTTCTTTTTTGTTGCCCGTGTGAAACGCACGGTCAGGTAATTAAAGATAAAAAAAGCTGCCAGCCTGAAACGGGCGGTCAACACTAAGGAAGATGATAATTATAAAAAAAGTTCACCAGCGTGAAACACGTGGTTGAACTATGACTTATTTAAAAAAGATTTAAAGATAAAAAATGATAATATAAATGTCAAATATGTTGGAAAAAACTTTTAAAAATGAAGAGTTAGGAATTGAGTTAACATCATTTATTGATAATCAGCAAAATACTTGGTTTCTCGAAAAAGAAGTTGCTGAGTTACTTGGTTATAGTAATGTAAGAAAAGCTATCTGGAATCATGTTGATAGTGAGGATAAAAAGCTGATTTGTTGGCGTACCCAAAATGGGGACGGCAACATTTCTGATTTACGAGGTAAATATTATACATTCATAAATGAAAGTGGTTTCTACTCCCTTGTTTTATCCTCTAAATTAGAAACCACCAAAAAGTTTAAACATTGGATTACCTCAGAAATACTTCTATCTATAAGAAAATTTGGCTATTACAAACTTTTTGACAACCCAAATAATAAAATGTTTAAGATTGAAAATGAAATGGATTTACACTCTAAAGTTGTTGAACTAATTAGAAATTTTTATCCAAATGCTATTATGGTTCCAGGACTTGGGGAAAACCAAGATACACCAGACAAAAGAATTAACAGTTGGAAAAAAGGCTATATGCGAGGTCAACCAGATTTAATGATTCTTGATTTTCACAAAGATTATAAAGGTCTCTGTATCGAATTCAAATCACCAACTAACAATTACTGTGTATCAGAATCACAACTAAAAATGAAAGAAAAGTACCGTGATAATGAATATGCGTTTATACTAAGTAATGATTATGATAAGATCAGCAAACTTATTCATAAATATATGGCTGGTGTGCGTATTCCATGTAAATATTGCTCAAAAGCGTTTAAAAATAAAAAAACTCTAAATAGTCATTATAAGGTAATTCATCGGATTGAGAAAAAATCTAATTTTGATATTAGTACTAATATCAAAATGTTAGAAAAATCTTCTATAAATAAACAACTAGGAATTATATACTATTTAACATCTTAATCTTTCAACCATTTTTCTTGTTCTTGAAATATTTTCTAAAGTGTATTTGATATCTCTATAGTTTCTCATATCATCTAAATACTTTTTACATCTTTTAACCAATTTTGAATCAAAACCAAATCTTTTTGGGTCAGTAAAAAAAAGACAATAAGTATTAGCTTTTTCTAATAACAATTCATCATAATCTCCAAGTATAGAATCAACTTCTTTACAAATTTTTTCCCCTTCTATAGCTAACGTTAATTTGTAAGAACTAAGTAGTTCTTTATCAAATTTTTCAAAACTTTCCATTCTAATTTATACTCAGATTAAATTTTTTTTATACCTACTATCAAATCTATCTGCTATAGGAGTTTGATCAATTATCATTTCATCTACCAACTTCATATGATCAACAAACTCTTGTTTGTTCCACTCATCTCCCCGAAGAGCTGCACGGAGTTCAACGAGAACTTTTTCATAAGTAGTAAATGCAATCCTTGACATTTCAATTTTTGTTTTGTAATATTTTTTTTTTCCAATTCCAGCTACAATAACTCCAGCACCATTTACAACTCCAAGAACAACAGGGTTTAGAGTTATTCCACCGGAAATATTTCCAATTGCAACCAAGCATATTCCAGAGATTGTAAAAAAATTATCAAGAAATTTAGAACTCTTATAAGTCCGCTTAAAACACCAATATTTTTTGTGGTAATGACTGTAAAAGTCTTTGAGGGTTTTAATTTCTGATTCTGACAGAGATTTATCAATATGATTAAATTCAAAGATATCCTTCATTTATATCTATACTATATAAGATCCATTTAACTTTTCTTGAAGCATTACTTTATGATATTGCTCAGAGTCGGTGTCGTAAAAGTTTGGAGAATACATTATTTTACTTAACACTCCACCTTTAGTTGAAAACTCAAACACTTCTTCGCGGGTGTAACGAACTGTTTGTAAACTTAATATTCCGCTGTAGTTACTTATTTTAACTTTTGTAATATTTGCGTTAAAATTTTCTGTCAACCATATAACAATTTTTTTTTCCATTAAAACTACTTGGTAAGGTAAGACGTTTAACTTGATTATTAACCCTTAATTCTACCATGTTGATTGTACTATGATAGGTTAAAGTTAGTAAAATACTTCTACTATTTGGATCTTTTTTTCTTATACTAAAATCTCTATTATTCCAAAAATAAAAAACAATACATAATGTATATTTTGAAGTACCAGGATCAGAAGAAAAATTAGTAGTATAATTAGTAACATCTAAGCCTTCTTTTTTTATATCATCTATGGTTTTATTAGGCATACCCATATCACTTAAAGGATTACCGCTAATAGAAGCTAAATTGTTAAAAACAATACCAGATGAGGTTCTACTTAATTTGTAATTAGCGGCATCAGTAAAATCATAAACTTCTTTAAAATGTTTTGTATATAAATTATTTATAGTGTGAGGAATTAATTCCTTTACCATTCCAACTGTTGCAGCACTATTGTTACTGTTTCTATCGAGATTAATGTTTAATATTTTTTATTATTTGCATTTATATCAACATTGTACACCACTTGTGTTGGGTGGATGTCAAATGCGGTGTGATAGTCGTAAACTTTATCTGGATCGATATTGCTAAATGTTCCCACAATTCCATAAGTAATTATATAAACTCCTGAAAACTGTCTCGGATACACAGCCAGGTCAGTTCCATCTTGTGGTATATTAACCAAAATGTGAAGAAAGAATCTATTTCCAGATGACAACTTCTTAAAATTAACTATTATTCTATGGTAATACATAAATTGTGTTTGTCCCTTTGAATCGCTGTACCTATGGGAGAGCTTCCTTACACTAACATTTCCAATTGATAATCCTGTTGAAGTTCCTTTGTCTACAGTTATTTGAGACTTATGCGACAGTTGATAATCAGTGTTGAGTATTTCCAAACACAACGTGTAATCAGTATTTGCACTTAACCTGTAAAAGTTGATTCCCATTTTGTACTTATATCAGCCTTGAGAACTTTTGTTTATTGTTACAAAAATTACTTTGTGTTTATAGTTATGAAAATTATCTTTAGAAGGAGATAAGTCTCCTATTCTTGTTATAATAAAACTAGTTCCAGTATCTATTTCATCAGTCCATTGTGCCGCACTAGACATAAGATAAGCAAACTGGTCGTTGTAATGACTTGGTTGAACTGCAGTGTGATGAACTAGTTTATCAGCATAATCTTTAGTTACTGCTTCATTGTCTTGGGTTGGCTTACTAAGATTTATTATTTTATTGTTGTTAAGATTCAAGTCTCCAGTCATAGCGACAGTACCATCTTTTTTCAAATAATCACTCAAATCTGGACTTCCAGTATTATCATCAACATACTTTTTGGTTGCAGCATCTGTGTTTGACACTGGAGTTGCGAGACCAACTATTTTATTATTACCAACATTAAAGTCTCCAGTCATAGGAACAGTACCATCTTTTTTCAAATAATTACTCAAATCTGGACTTCCGGCATTATCATCCACATACTTTTTGGTGGCAGCATCTGTGTTTGATGTTGGAGTTGCGAGACCAACTATTTTATTGTTGTTAAGATTTAAGTTTCCAGTCATAGCGACAGTACCATCTTTTTCCAAATAATTACTAAAATCTGGGGCAGCTGTGTTATCATCCACATATTTCTTTCTTGCAGCATCTGTGTTTGTCGTTGGAGTTGCGAGACCAATTATTTTTTTGTTTCCAAGATTTAGGTTATTAGTCATTGATATACTTCCATCTTTTTTTTTAAAGAACTAGTATCAGGTATTGAGTCATCCACATACTTTTTGGTTGTTGCATCTGTGTTTGATGTTGGTGGTCTAAGGTTAATTATTTTTTTATTATCCATGTTTAGATTATTAGTCATTTTATTTGTTCCAGCAACGTGGAGATACTTCAAATCTGTAAAAGCTAATGGTGTTGGTTGATTACCTCCATTTGGAGCTGGTAGATTAAATATTCGATTATTGCCCATATTGAGATTACCTTTCATTGGGTAGGAACCATCTCTGTCAAGAAATGTGTTGTCTACGTAATATTTTGTGGCTGGTTCTTTAAGGTCTAGTGGTGGGTTAAGATTTGTAATTCGGTATCTATTCTTCATATCAATGTTTGAATCAACTGTCAATCGTGTTGTTGTGGGTGATCCACTGGAATTGTCATCAACATATTTTTTTGTAGCAGCATCAGTATTAGAATTAGGCGCACCAACATTTGTGAGTCTTTTACCATTTATATCATAATTTCCATCTGCGGTTAGACTAAAACCAACTCCTGGAGCACCCTGAATTCCTTTAGCAAAAGGATGATCAAAAGATTGTTCGTTAAATATTCCCATTTTTATTTATTAGTTTAGATTACTAGTAAAGTTTTTAGCAATACGTTTTCTAGGTTTATCAACATATAGAAATGTAAAGGGTTTTTTTGTTGCTGCTTTATATGTCTCTTTGTTAACTCCCAATTCAGATGATATTCTGTTTGCTTCCCTCGATGATGGAAATTCGTAAAGGCAGTAATGAGAACAATTCAGCCGAATATCCTTTGGAGTTTTGTAAAATGATTGACTAGATTACAGAGCAATTCTTATGTCGTCCTTGAATAAAATAATCTATTAACTGTCTCTGGTTTTTATCACAAACATAATCATCAAATATCACAAGTTTTTTATTGTCCTCATAATCCATTTCTGTCACTGGAGTTATTTCATCATTACTCACATGAAGTATTTCATATCCTAATTTACTACTCAACTCCCTCATTTTTTGAATTAAGTTTTGATACTTATCCTGCTCTAAATTACGCGGATAAAGATAAATTTCATCATAGTACAACAGCGGTTTAATTAACATGTGATATAACAGATTAGTCTTACCACTTCCACTGTTTCCACAAATTAACATCCGAAATGTATCTAATGGCATGTAAGGAAATAACTGTTTATATTTTTTATCCGGGCCACTAGTACTATCATAGTTTGGTATTTCCATTTATCTATTTATTAGATAAAATGGATATTGAAGAATACAAAAAACTTGCAAGAAATAAAATTGAAGCTGATTCTTTGACTAAACAGGTGAGAGATGTAATAAAAATAACAAAATGGCAAAAACAAGATGCTCGGGAAAGTTTTAAAGAGACATTTAAACCACTTATTAAATCTCAAGATAGCATTAAAAAAAGTATTGATGAGCAGCAAAACGCAAATATAGCACAACTTAAAAAAAATCAACTTGCTCTTACTCAAGGTTTTGAACAGTTCAACCGATTAGCTGATATGAGAGAATTACCATATCCAAACGAAGAAGGTTGGGATAGAGATTGGTTACCAGAACCCCCTACTAAAATGTTAAATTTAGAAAAAAATTTCGAAGGGAGAGAACTAGATTTACTAAAAGAATTTGGTTACCCAAGACCAAATGATCTTTTTGAAATTAATCCTAAAGTCTTAGATCTAACTTTAGAACAATTAAAAGATAATATAAAACAACTAACTGGTGAAATTAGTGGTAGAAAGAAGGCTAAAAATCCATCTCCATTATATGAAGCTGAAACTGTAGTTAAAAAAATGCAAAAAGGAACACTAATGAAATATAGAAATACTATGAAAGATTACTTAAGATCGCTTAAATATAAGGTAGGCGAAGGACTAGCCCAGCGAGGGCAGGGTATTGTTTACTTTAATAATCCACAAGAACTACTAAAAAGACTTGAATTACTTGGTGGTTCAATTCTTGCTGGGAATAATGGTGTAATACCTGAGTTTTCTTAAATTGCACATCTTTTCAACCAAATGAAAGTGATCTCAAAAAAACAACTAAATGATTTACTAAAAAATTATATATCTTTTAAATAAAAATGGAAGAACGAGCTATCCACATTTCCTCAATAAACAGGGAAAAAAGAGGAACAAGCAGACCTGGTGATTTTACTATTAAGTTTAATCCATCTTTGAAACTTGACCCTGAAATGAAACACCAACTTGCTCTTGATCGGCTGTCCATGACTTACTCTTGGTACAACATTAGAAGTGATTATGGAAACAATAAAATAAAATACACTCATGATGGAAGGACTTGGCAAACAATTACTTTTACAGATGGAATGTATTCCTACTCAGATATTAATGATTACATTCATCAATATATGTCTCAAAAGTCTCACCACTCAACAGATTCAAGTGGAAAAAAGACTTATTCAATCAATCTAACTTTTATACTATCTACCTATCGAGTTCTCATATCACTTGATGGTGATTATCAACTTGATTTGAGAGGAACAGAATTTGGAGACCTGATTGGATTTGAAAAGAAACTTATTACAAAAACAGAGTATGGATCAAAACTACCAAATATAACAAATTCGATTGATGTGTTAAATATCAACACAAGCGCAATAACTGATAGCATTGTAAATGGAATAAATACAATTACCATTGCTGTGATACCAACAGACAATCTCACAAGGTCTTATCCATTTACGTTTGAACCTAAAAGACCATTGTATTGTCCTGTTTCTACATTTCACATTGATGAAATGAGAATCTATGTGACAGACTCACTTGGTAGACCAGAAAATTTTAATGGTATTGATTGGTTTATGACTTTAATACTTCACTCGATGTAATATAACTATTAAAATAAAATGATGCGACAATCAGAGTTTAAAAAGAAACTTGACCCTGAATTGGGGCGATATACAAGACAACACATCTATGGAGAAGGAATGATGGATGTTTTTAAATCAGTTGGTAAAAAAATATTTGGAAAGACAATGAAAAAAGCTGCTAAAAAAGCGGTAACAGCAGCTGCAACAAAAACCGGTGAACATGTTGGCAAAAAGGCTGGTGATAAAATAGTGCAAATGTTATCAAAAAGTAATAATAAACCAAAAGTTACTTTTAATAAAAATGTTGAGACAATTCCAAGTGAAAAAGAGTTAAATCAAAGTTTAATTAACCTTCTTAGTGGAGGTTCAACACGTAAGAGAAAATTATATAATTATTAAAATAAAATGAAGTCTTTTAGAAATCCAAAATATTTAGACAGATATGAGGATGTTGTTTTTGACCTGGAACAGACTCTAGATACAGCTCCAGCAAATGACGCCCACCAAACTAAAACAGGTCTTAGATTTGTTGCTGATAATACAGGAGAAACTACTCCTTTTGCTTGGTATAACGCACGATTATCAATGGATTTTAAAGTAAATAAACTAGCAGATGGGGGAAATATTGCGGTTGCTGACCATAACGGAATTGTAAATGGTAGTAACTCATTTGTAGAAAAATTAAGTATCCTGGCAAATGGTCGAGAAGATAATAGTTGTAATTATGCAAATCATGTTGTAAATATTGAAAATTTGCTTGAGTATAATCCTTCATTTGCACAGAGTGTTGCTACAAACGAATTTTATTTTCTTGATACTTCAAGAGCTGCAGAGGAAAGACCTGCTCAAGCAACTTATAATAAAGGTTTTCATCAAAGGAAATTACTATTAGGTGCATCAGCCACTGTAAACTGTGAAATTCCTCTTAATAGATATTCTTTCTTTGAAGCATTGGAAGATAAACTACTTCCTAATACAAAAATTGAGCTAAATATCAAAATTGAAAAAGATGCAAATTTAATTTTTCAAGGTGCTGATGATTGTAGAGTTATTATAACAAGACTACAACTTTTTATTCCAAAACTTACGTTTAATTCAGAAGGACAAAAGCTGTATATGGAAAATTATCTTAAACCTTACAAATGGGTATATTTGAATGAAGTTAAAGTTGAAAGGTCAAATAATACACAGCAACAGACAGGACATTTTAGAATTACAAATGCTATTTCAAAGCCAAGGCATGTATTTGTTTTTGGAATTGATACAGCAAGAATTCATGTACAAACAGCAAATCCATTTTTATACGATACTTTTAATCTACCAAATAATGCTAATATATCAAGATGTTACCTGGAAGTTGCAAATGAAAAAGGAATATCCAGACATTCACTTTAAACCTTCTACAGATATGTCAAGAGTTTTTAGAAATGTAATGTCATACGTCTATGCAAATAATGATTATCAAGGTGGAACATCACTTAATATAGGTAATTTAAAATCTTTATTTCCTTTTGTTTATTTTGACCTGACAAAACAAAAAATGGATATCAAAGATGGTGTTACAAAACTAGCATTTCATTACGAATTATCTGCTAATCCAAACGCTGATTATAATATTTACGCATTAGTCTTACATGAAAGAGTAGCAGAAATATCACAACAAGATGGAAAACTATTGCTTAGGGCTTAGATTTAATATAATTCTATAAATAAATGACAACTTATATTGAATACGGTGTAACACTTACAGATGGTCAAAGTCAAAATTGGCTTCTGCAATATTACATAAATCACCACTAATTCTTCGTTTAAAAGATTCTCATCTTCGAGGTTCTGATGAGTTAATGTTAACAAAAAGACAAATTGATAAAATAAAAAAATCTATTGCAAATGGCACAGGATCAGATATAAAGATAAGTAAAACTCAAATTAGAAATTCTGTAAAACATGGTGGAAACTTATTTTCATCACTCGCATCTCTTGGAGCAAAAGTACTACCTTACGCATTAAAAGGAATTTCAAAAGCTGTTCCTGCATTAGCAACTGGTGCTGCTACTGCACTTGGAGAACTTGGAATAAATAAAATATTTGGAAAAGGAATTACAATTCCCCCACAGTTTTTCCCAATGCTACCACCTCTTGCAAGAGAATTTACCAAATCACAAATAAATCAAATTAACAAAGCTTAACAAACAGGAGGTCGACTGGTTATTAAACCAACTCGTAAACAGATAGAAGGAGGATTTTTGGGTACTCTTGCTTCTATTGGAATTCCAATGGCAATTAGTTTAGTATCTAAGATGTTTGGTGGGGGACTTCAGGTTAATAGACGTGGATCATCTAATACAGCAAATGTTTACGTTCCACCCACAGATGGTGGAGGTTATCCTTATCGCTCACCACCCTTTTTTGGTACATGGGAAAACCCAATAGGAATGGTAGTTAAAAAAAAAGGTCCAAGTCCAAAGGAAAAGGTCTACTATTAGGAAAAAAAAACAGCCCATTCAACTCAATTCCGATTCTAGGAACCATTTGGTACTTAAACCACTATCCAACTTTGACCTCATGGATTGGGTAAAGAAACTTGGTATTAAACATTTTAGAGGAATATACAGTCGTGATGGTCTACCACATAAGATAAGAAAAGAATGTGGAATAATCAATCTCGATGACATGACTGGTCCTGGCACGCATTGGGTTTGTTATAGAAATATAGACAATTTAGTTGAGTACTTCGATCCATTTGGTTTAATAATGCCAAATGAAGCATTAGAGTATTTTAATACTTCTGGAAAACGTATAGTGTACTCAATGGATGAAATACAAAATCGCAATACTGTTCTCTGTGGATATTGGTGTTTATATTATCTGTTTGAGAGACAACGTGGTAATAGTATTCTAAACGTAATACATAACCCGCATTTTGATGATGACAACAGTGATTTTATAAAAGAGTATTTTTGAGGATAAAAATAATATTTAATAAATATTATTTTTTTAATCTTCATCATCCGGCTCATTCTTTAGTAATTTAATTCTCTCAACTTTTTTTATTTAGATCTTTAACACTATCAACTATTTCACTAAATTTAGAGTAAATGTCAATAAGACGATAAAGTTTCTTCTTTTTATCACTATTTATCTGCAACCAAGAATAGTCCTCATTTTTAATTTTTTCCCACATCTCACATTCACCAGCAATCAGTATTCTAGAAAGATCATCATTTTTCTTTCTAATAGACTCAAACTCATGATTTATTTTTGACCTTACTTCTTTCTCAAAATCTTTTATTGTTTTAACATCCATCTTTTTTTCTATCTCAGAAAAGAATTTGGCTTCCATTTACTATATAAACAGATAATTTCCTTTTACAACTTTTTTAAGTGTATTTGATTTCTCACTTATTTCCATAAGCAACGCAAATACTTTTATAAATTTAGTGTCATTTTCCAATCTAGAAAAATCAGCATATTCATAACTCATGTTTAGGTTATTGTATATCTTTTGAAGTTCACTTTTTAAAAAATTAGATCTAGTAGACATATTTATCTAAACATTATACTAAATGACAGAATCATATTGTATTGTAGATAAAAGAGTAACTCCTTGCACAGAGCCAAGCGGTTACCAACAAGATAAAAGAGGTAGAACTCAATTCTTTTGTAGATGCGCAGTTTGTGGAAATAAAAAAGTTAGATACGTGAAAACTGGAACAGCTTTTCAAACTGGAAGTGGAAAAAAGAGAAAACGAAAGTCAAAAAACTAATCAGCCCGTCTGAAGGGGTGGGCGCCTTTGATACTGTTGTTGGTACAGCAGTTGATGGTTTTGTTCATTACGGTTTACCTTGGATGGGTAAGAAAGCAGTTGAAATGGGACGATATGGAGCAAGTGAGTTAATGAGAAATAAAAATCTTCAGAACAAAGCTGTAAATTATGGGATTAATAAACTCACTCCATTTATTCAAGATTCTGTTGGATCAGCCATGGACCAGTTATCAACCAAAGTTAGACCTAAAAAGAAATATAAAATTGATAGACCAGAATTAGATGGGAGAGGAATAGATATTCACAAGCAGATTGGTAAATTACCAAAACCAAAAGGTGGATGGACCTTACCAGGGCATAAATATACAGGTCCTTAATTAGTATTCTAGAAAGATTATCAATTTCTTTCTAAGAGACTCAAACTCATTATTTATTTTTGTCCTTACTTCTTTTTCGAAATCTGTTAGTGTTTTAACATCCATCTTTTTCTCTATCTCAGAAAAGAATTTGGCTTCCATTTACTATATAAACAGATAATTTCCTTTTACAACTTTTTTAAGTGTATTTGATTTCTCACTTATTTCCATAAGCAACGCAAATACTTTTATAAATTTAGTGTCATTTTCCAATCTAGAAAAATCAGCATATTCATAACTCATGTTTAGGTTATTGTATATCTTTTGAAGTTCACTTTTTAAAAAATTAGATCTAGTAGACATATTTATCTAAACATTATACTAAATGACAGAATCATATTGTATTGTAGATAAAAGAGTAACTCCTTGCACAGAGCCAAGCGGTTACCAACAAGATAAAAGAGGTAGAACTCAATTCTTTTGTAGATGCGCAGTTTGTGGAAATAAAAAAGTTAGATACGTGAAAACTGGAACAGCTTTTCAAACTGGAAGTGGAAAAAAGAGAAAACGAAAGTCAAAAAACTAATCAGCCCGTCTGAAGGGGCGGGCGCCTTTGATACTGTTGTTGGTACAGCAGTTGATGGTTTTGTTCATTACGGTTTACCTTGGATGGGTAAGAAAGCAGTTGAAATGGGACGATATGGAGCAAGTGAGTTAATGAGAAATAAAAATCTTCAGAACAAAGCTGTAAATTATGGGATTAATAAACTCACTCCATTTATTCAAGATTCTGTTGGAACAGCCATGGACCAGTTATCAACCAAAGTTAGACCTAAAAAGAAATATAAAATTGATAGACCAGAATTAGATGGGAGAGGAATAGATATTCACAAGCAGATTGGTAAATTACCAAAACCAAAAGGTGGATGGACCTTACCAGGGCATAAATATACAGGTCCTTATAATGATCTTGAAAACCAAGTAAGATACAATCCGGAAACTGGTGAAATATTAGAAATTTATGATCAACCAACTGGGCCAACTGATGCTGTGGCTATGCAGCATGATGTTGATTATAGTGTTTGTGGTGATGACCGAAAGTGTAAAAATAAAGCTGATAGTACGATGGGAAAATCATTGGATGCTATTCCTTGGAAAGAAAGGCAATGGGGGCATACTTTAGCTAGAACAATAATTAATACTAAACAAAAACTTGGAATGGGAACAAAAAACGTAAAGCGGCGTTGAGTAGTGATTGGTCTCAACAATTAGCCGACGAACTTCACAAACCAATCACACGAAACTTTCAAAAGAGATTAGTAGTCTCAAACGGGATTGATGAAATCTGGGCTGCTGATTTAGTTGAAATGCAAAAGTTTAGTAGGTGGAATGAAGGAATTAAATATCTGCTGATGGTTATTGATGTGTTTAGCAAATATGGTTGGATTAGAGGGTTGAAAGATAAGAAAACTGAAACTGTCAGTAAAGCATTTGAGGACATATTCAAAAGTAAACGTAAACCAAGGAGGCTATGGACTGATAAAGGTTCTGAGTTTATCAGTAAACATTTCAAAGATTTTTTGAAAAGAGAGGGAATCAATTTGTATCACACTGAAAGCGAAGAAAAATCTAGTGTTGTTGAGAGATGGAATAAAACAATGAAAAACAGAATGTGGAAAATGTTTACAGTTAATAACAACACTGTTTACTGGGATACGTTAGATAAACTAGTTAATGATTACAACGCGAGACATTCTAGTATAAAAATGACTCCTGTTGAAGCAAGTAAAAAGAAAAATGAAAAAATAGTTTGGTCTAATTGTATGGTGATTCTATTTACTTAAAACCTGGTAAATCAAAGTTTGCGGTTGGTGATAAAGTTAGAATTTCTAAGTATAAGAGAAAGGTATTTGATAAAGGTTACACACCAAACTGGACAGAGGAAATATTTGTAATTGACAAAGTTTTACCTACAAAACCTGTTACGTATAGCATTGTTGATTTGACAGGAGAAGAGATTAAGGGTTCTTTCTACGAGCAAGAATTGCAAAACGCAAAACAAAAAACATTTAGAATAGAAAAGATTATCAGACGAGATAATAAGGAAAAAATGGCACTAGTAAAATGGAGTGGATATCCTGATAAATTTAACTCATGGGTTAGCTCTAAGGATTTGGTTGATTTTTAATACAAATTTCGTATTAAAAATAAAATCTTATTATCTACTCACTTTCTTCTTTATCAGATAAAAGTAAGTCGTCAACTACTTGATCTGTTATCTCTTCACCTTCATTCTCTTCGTCATCAATTGTTAGTAAAGCCTCTCTTGGTTTTAGTGGTTTGACATAGCACTCATGTACTTTTATTTGTAATGATGTTACAGTCTTACTTATAAAGATTCCTTCAATTATCAACGCCAATTTAACATTACAGTACTGATTGATATATTTAAAAGGATTTAAATCCTTACCTCCCTTTCCCTTAAACAAAGATTAAATTTTCTTTGATTTTTCTGAGTAAATAAGTTTTGCATATAGAACTGGTGCGGATGAGTTATCTATTCTTGCTTTCTTCTTTCCTTTCTTATCTGTATATTCTTCTTGTTTGAAATAAAATGGAGAAGATAGAGATGATGCTAGATCCGCGCCATATTCATTCTCTAAATGTTGTTGAGAGAAAGTTATTACATTATTAATAACATCAAAAAATGCTCTTTCTTTAGTATTCGGTTCGCTATCTTTAGCCCAAAGACATACTGGCAAACTATAACCAACTAACTTGTTTGTTTCTTGATTTTTCTTCTCATTAACACCAAAGCTGAAAAGAACTGGAGATTCAACTACCAAAGCTCCTTTATTTCCATTTGGATATTTGACTTCAATTGGAATACGTTTGTATTTGATCTTGAATGAATTTTCTTTCCACCTGGAAGTGTAGCCATGTATTTGTTATTTTTTCGTGTTGAATAATCAAGAGATTCAGCACCAAGCTTTTTAGCATTTCTGGTTAATTTTTTAAACTCTTGTCCTGTAACAACATATTTTTCATCCGGAACATAATCTGGATCAACATCATGTCTATAACCATCATCAACTATAAAATCCAAATCCTCTTTTGTAGGAGTAGTTTCTCTTGATCTTGGTTCCATTTATTAGTTGTTTATACTATTTTTTTACTGGAAACCCCCTAGTACTATTATCTTCATAATATCCTAATACCAGGTAATTCATCTTCTTCAAACTTTTTTTCCCTTTTATATATTTCTTCATGTTCAATTTCTTTTACTTGCTCTGGAGTATACATATGAGTAAACATGAGATATTTACAAAAAGAATCTAGTTGCTCATCATCCGCAAGAGCTTTAATAACACCAGTAATACTTATCTTAGCTGTATCAACAAAATTCTCTAAATAACAATAAACATAATGCAACCCATACTTATCTTCTTCAAAAGGAAAATCAGGATTTGTTGTTATATAACCAATATTATGAAAAATACCATAATACCTAGCTAATCTTTTTGCTAATTTAATCTTTTTCTCATCATTACTCTCTTTTAATTTTTTCATTGCTTCACTCATAGTTTTTTTTCTTTCTTTCTCTTTCCATCCAACCACAACTTCACAACCCTTATCTTCTAATTCCTTTAATAACTCTTCCATTTTTATCATATGTTTAAATTAAATTTGTTATTACTTTAATCTTATAACAAAAAAATGTTATAAGATTAATCACTATCACTATCACTATAATAATCCCAAAAACTACCACCATCTTCATACTTTATTTTAAACTTACTAAAAAATAATTCGAAATCATCATAAATATTTTTGAAACCAGGATAAGGAACAATAAAAGATGTATCTTCATCATCAAAACAAGATTTACAAAAATTGATATATTGATTAAAATTAAGAAAATTCTTTTAAATCTTAATCAAATTATCAACATCAATATTGTTAATCTCGAAATTGCTAGTATCTTGAAGTTTACCTCTTTCTTGACCTTTTAAAAATCTTTTTATAAAATACTTAATTCTAACAACTTTTTGATTTTAAATTAAACCAATAGGCGATTCATGAATATGTTCAACAAAATACCTGAATTCCCTATTAATACCTATTATTAAAAGGTATTCTTTTTTAAAATCCCTTGCATATTCTGGGATTTTATTAGTTTTTTTAATGCAATTTTGGAAATTCGAAGACTGAGCCAGGATAACCATTTCCCTAACTACTTGAGCTACAGAAATCACAGGTTTAAAACTGTAGAACCAACGACCCACAGTTCAACATTTTTTTTCAACAATATATCTTGACCTCATAAATGTTGAATGTTGAACGTTTCAAGGCGAGAATCCATAGAGAGGGGCTCTATTATGTTCTTGCTGAACAAAACGAGTACATTTGTCGACCAGCATTATTAGGGACCCTAAGCAAGGACGACGACGACGGCAGTGAAAACATCGGTAAAAAAATGAATTTGCGGTCTTTCAAACTTAATCGCGTCTATTTGGACCCGTTCAATATGTCAAATGCTGGCGATTTTTCCTGGAGTTGAATTCTTAAGGATTTTATTCAGGTTCAAAAAGTGGAACGAAAATTCGTCGTCGTATGACACAGTCCTCCATAAAACGTCAAATTAGGTTTCACGTGGTAGTCGTGCAGTGGACGTCAAAGAAATGTACTAAAAAGCGCGATGCACGTGCAGAGTTGCTGTTTTGATCATTGAACCTATTGTTATTTTTGAAGTCGTCGTTGTGGTGGTGGTCGTAGTTGCTTAAGCTCCCTATCAATACAGTGAAACCTCTATTTAGGGGACACCCTCGGGACCAAGAAAAGTGTGCCCTGAATAAAGGTGTCCCCTGAATGGAGAATGGGCTGGGGTTTGTTAATAATTATCCAAATAATAAAATAGTTTTCTTTTATTCTGCCTCGGAATCTGCTTCAGTCATTACTTCAGGCGGCTAGATAATGTGTAAAAAATAATGATTAACTTATCTGTGCGATATTGTGTTGAATTCCCACAAGTACTGTTCATCTATTTAAGTTTATAAAAGAACTGAGATAGTACGCGCGATCTGATTGGTCAAAAACCTATGGTTTATTATACCGGTAAACCCATAGAAAAAGGCATTCGGAACAAGAGCCGTAAACAAAACCGGCTATTGATCTGCAAACAACGATTTTAGAAAGGCTAAAAAACGGAACAAGTTACTTACCCATCCCTTCTTGAAATTAAAAAGCGTTGGTTTCCACATTTTATTACAGGGCGTCACAATTGGCTAATGCAATAGCTTTAAAAGTAATAAAGTACAACGCTGGAAAGCAGTTTCCATTTCACGACGATGCCAAATTTCAGAGAAAGATAACAACTGTGTGAATTTCTGGTGTAGAAACTCTCTAGGACAACTTAACCATGAGCCAACCAGCAACAGAACGGATAGTTTTATCATTCTTGATTTATTCTATGTCAAAATTAAATTCCTAATCGAAAGAAATGGTTCCAAAAAGAGATATCTGATCAAGTTGTGTTAAAAAAATCACAAAATCGACCGCTGTAGATTGTAAACAAGCTGTAAACGATGATCGACGCGCTGGGGTTTTTTTCCAACATTTGCACAAGTTGTTCGGTAATATCGATGCCATAACCTACTTCAAACCACCCGACTTCACAAATCGACCAATAGTAACGCTAACGTGTGGCTACGGCAAAGAAACCTTTCTCCAGATTTAGAGCTACCACTGACATGTTTCCATAGGGCCCTGTACGTAGATAAGTTACATGCGTCAACTTCGCAAATGCAAGCCACGTCGTTGCCGCAGCATTTCGTGATCATGATAAAGTCCAGAAAACAGATCTTAAACCACTACATCTTGTAAAAAGTGAATGAAGTCCTCCATTACAAAAGTTGCCAGTTCCGTCCGTCTGTAAGCACGAAATTTTTACGGATCGACTTGACAAAATACAGCTGGGTACAGTTTGATGTGCAATTTTCCACTTGTAGTAAACAAACCATGAACGCATTCCTTCATTGTAGCCTCATTGTAGCCTGAACGACATTATCCTACTTAGCTAATTATTTATTCATACAGAAAGAAAATTATAAGACGTTGTACGGAGAAATATTCTTCGCTCATTAAATTAGCAAAATGTACATTGAATATCGCTACAGAAAGAAAATTATTTAGCGTCTGTTTGTTTCTCTTTGTATTCTGCTCATTAAATTAGACACAAAATGCCTTTTTGAGCGACAGTCTTTCACCCAGATGACAGTAGACTGTCTACTGTCATCTGAGTGAACAACTGTCGCTCCAAAAAAGGCCTTAAACAGTGCCTAGGAGGTCTGAAATGCCGTCAGTGTAAAATTGATTTAAATTGATGTCCTTTGACGATCTTCAACCTGACGGTCCGCTTAATATGGACGTTATAATAGGGATTTAGACATTTCCCTTTGGTGTCCATGTTAGTGCACTAATAGGCCATTCCCCTTTGCAGGTGATAATCTCCTTCGGATTGGATGGCGAAGATCTTTCTCCGACGAAACAGAATGTTATCAAAGTACCATAAGCTCTGGTCAGCTTATTGGTCCTCACGGAGAGCTAAAATGTGTTTACAACAGTCCGTGTTCCGGCAAAGTAGGCCTTTTGTATTTCAAGTGCACTGATTTTAGCGTGAAGGAAGACTGGACTACTGGCACCAACAGCTTTCAGTACACGTTCGTTACTCCTGTGTCGTCAGCTCCTTACTATCTTTTAAGGTACCATCTTTACTGTTTCATGCAATTTGCTGTCTATACGCACGGTCTGATTGGACGATAACTAATGTTTGCCCCATGTAAAGGAATTCCGTATTCCGAAATCCAGGAAATTTTTGCTTCTGGAATCCGAAATCCTAGCCTTTGGAATCTGGAAAACAGCTCAAGGAATCCGGAATCCAACTGACGTTTGGAATTCGGAATCCACGTTCCACCAACAAAGACCATGGAATATCTGGAATCCGAATTCACGTTGAGGAATAATACAGGATCCAAGACTGCCTTGGATTCCCTTACATGGGGCGATAACGTGTGTTAAGCGTCACATAGTTGATAGGTCTGTTTTGCCCTGGCGAAATGCAGCATTGGTTACACAAAAAACCCTAAAGAAGAACATCGCTGAACAGACGAGCGCTATTAGGCAAGGTTGTCTATTTTTTTTTTTCATTTTTCGTTTCGTGGTTTTTTACGAATATACGATGGCACCTGCAAGCAAAACTGTAATACCAAAAAAAAGGTTTTACCCATTGATGGGGTCCTGGGTGTACCAATTACAGATGCGGGATTTACCAGAAGGCTCTAATACCAATACTTTGATGCAACAGGAATTGGAAAAACTGGGAAACGAAAAGTGTAGGGAGAATGAAAAAAAAAGATAATTTTTTTCCTGTGATACTGCAAATCCTGAAGCAAAATCGACATCCCGTGAAGGAACGAAACACGAAGGAAAGATCGGTAACAAGCCAGGAAATGGTATTAAGAGGTTTTTTAGGGAAGCAACCCTGAAATGTTTGCTTAGAGAGCACCCAAGAAAGGCCTTTCATTTTTATTTCTATTTTATTATTTCTATGTTATCATCTGCGCCACAGTGGAACAATTAGGAAAGAAACTGGGTTATTTAGTACTAGTAAGGAAAAAATCTAAAACTAAGCATACAGGACAGAGCTGAACAACGTCTGCGCATGTCCTGAGGCGAGCGAAGTCTGGGATCTAAACTAGTATCGTTTGCAAAAGGATTTTCTAAACATCCTCACATTTTGGCGATTTTTACGGTGGACTCTGAATATTTAAGGTTCAAATTTAAAGTAAATGTAGATTATTTCATTCTTCATTCAATTCTCGTTTATAGTTTTGGAGTTTTTTTTATATTTTTCGCCATGAACAACAGAAGACGCACGCACGAAACGTCTCAGCTAAATTGGTATCGTTTGCAAAAGGATTTCCATTTTCCATTTTGGTGATTTTTAAGGTGGATTCTGATTATTTAAGGTTCCCATTTAAAGTAAAGCGACATTATTTCATACGTCATTCAATTCTCGTTTATAGTTTATTTTTTTTTAATTTTTTTTTTATTTTGCTATGAACAAAAGAAGACGCACGAACGAAGCGTCTCTGCTAACTTAGTACCGTTAGCAAAAGGATTTTCAAAACATCCTCACATTTTTGCCAATTTTTTAGGTGGTTTCCGAATGTTTTATGGTTCCCATTTAACCTAAAGGTAGAAAATTTCATACTTTATTCAATTCTCTTCTCCGTCTTCGTAATTTTTCTTCCGTTTTTTGCTATGAACAAAAGAAGATGCGCGTTCGAAGCAAAACATTTCTTTAATTCCAATGTTTACATGTTCAAGCGTAAACAGAAATGAACGATGGCGTATCAACATGTGATCAGCCGAGCATCTCATACCAGTGTCAGCATTAAAGGAACATTTTGATATTTATGTTTATTTTTCATGAATGATGGACTGTTAATTTGTTATTCCTCTCGCTTTGTCTCGCTAGGTTTTACTATAAGAACTGTAAGAACACACACACAAAAAAAATTACTGAGGTTTGTCTTCTTTCTTCCAAACATATTTTCTTTACGATGAAGCAACCTGCATCCAGCTATTTCAATCAGATTTACTAATAAAGTACATAGATTACAAAACTAGGCCACCAAAATTTCATGTTGAATCTAAATAGTTTAATTCAGTCTTGCTGTAGTGCATGGAGCGTATGGAAAACCATCTTCCGCAGTTGCTCAGTCGCTGAACAACAGCAAGCCTAACCTGCCAAGTAATTCAAGCTAGCTGTAATCCTTGAGTTAGCTTCATATTACCTACCTTTTGACTATAAAGAAATTAATTCATGAAAAAGATGCAAGTAGTTGAAAATTGCGACTGCCATTGATGAGCAGCTGGGTTCTTTATCATGATTTTTGGTAGTATGAACGTGTAGTGGGGCACTTCACTTGTTTCAATTGTGTCCTGGAGTTCCTGATATCTTCCTCTTTCACCAGCCAACTCAATGTCTTCGAAAGTTAAACCTTTTTTACGTTTGTTCAAATTATTACCTAACTGTTGCCCAACCGATCGATCAAGAATTTATACTGTATTTATACACTGTTCACAAGAAAAATAAATAATCACAGAACCAAAATATAGCTGGGTCTTATCCAAGAAAAAAAAAAAACTTCTAAATTCAGCTCTTATGTAATATCATTAGAAAGAATAAACTACTTTTAAGTACATTTTGCACACTTTGCTTAAAAAGTGAAGTGGTTGAATTGTTTGGTATTTTTTCTTTTATGGGAACCATAATAATTATTTACTTGTTTCTTGAAATATTACAAATAATTTAACTTATGTACATGTCTCCCCTTGTCAAAGAGAAATTACTGTTCATCTCCAATTACAAACTGTCTACAAACTAACACTTAAATTAAAGAAGTGAGAACTAAAGGGTAGCAATTTTACTATAACGGGATGGCAAGACTTAGAAGCTATTACATAACATAAATGATTGGTCAATAAAACCCTTTACTAAAGTTGAGCCAAAGAAAAATCACATACAGCAAAGACAGTGCAATACAGAGTCTTATCAGAGGTCCCAATCCTCTTCACTCTCCATACCAATAAAAGGCAGCCTTTTATTAGGGATCTTTGAAAAACCATTCTCAGCTTAGCTCACAGAAGCTATTTTATTGCATACACCAGTATACGACAACAGTAAAAATTAATGTGAGAAGAGAAAATAGGTAATATAAGTAATACAATCGATGCCTGCTGGTAAAAAAAGTATCATTGACTTGAAGTTATCTCAAAGCTTCGTTACAAGGAGAAGCACAATCTGACTGCTTGTAAACTCTCTTTATTCTTTTTATCCTTTACTCTTCCTTTATTTTTCTCGTTGAAGTCTAGATCCTCATTCCTTGATTCTTCTGCTTCAGTACATAAGACTGTTATGAATGGTAAACTTTTAGTTAATACCGACGAAAACTCACGTGGAACTCAGTAAACTTGTGTTTCTTTTCTCAAAACTTCACAAGCTTTAAACTTTAAGAGTTTATCCTGCTAGTAAAAGGTGCAAAAAATTTAGTAAATGAACGGGCTTAACTAAATAAATAAATTCTGCAGCTCGGCAAGCCACAGTACTCAAACAAAATTAAGTTCTGAAGCTTTATGTAAGAAAAGCCTTCTTTGATCGCACTAACATTTGTGTGTGTTTAAAAGCTTTAATAAGCTTAACTAGGCATAATTTCTTGTGTGTAATGGCATCATTACGCTCATTGCCCGCTTTCGTGCCACTAAGTGAACGACCCACAAGAGTCATCGTTCGGCTATATTACAAGGATTTGCTCTTCTTCAAACGTAATAAGGTAATATTAAAGTAAATCGTTACGTGCTATCGAAGTAAAGTCGCCAAAACTCCAGCAATGCCCTTTTTCTCTCAGTCATCTTTCTGCTAAAACGAAAATGAAAAACCTTGCCGAGACGGTCAAAAGCATTTTCCTTGGTCCCTAGTTGACTTAAAATTCCTTAACAAGACTTGCATGCACTTCTAATGTATTCGCACGCGGAATTTCTTTTTCGTTAGCACTTACCACTGAGTTTACTTTATGAAATTAATTTCACGTCGCAAAAGTGCATCCCTCGCGCGGCTACGCTTGGTAAACAAGTGATGACACGGGCATGCGCAGTACGTTATTCAGCCCTGTCAACATACAGCGCAGCTAAAGCGATAGGATGAAGGGAATAAGGCGGAAATTTGAGGGCACTTTTTACAGCGGGGGGCAATTATAGCGGGCCGTCAGCATTCTATTTGCATATTTACGTGTTCGTTAACCTATCGGAATCTGTCCCAAAACACGCTATCCTATTATCTATACTTTTCTGTTATTGTTGTTGCCGTGATAACTCATCGTGAAATGTGGATCAATGGTTAAAGTTTCAGCGGCTATGCCTGGATTTCCTTAAAGCATGGTGGAGGTTCATGGGAACTGCGTATGCATGTAAATCTCACTGCGAGGAATGACACTGGGCGTTTGAATACATCTCCAGTGACGACCATGACGCCAGTTGTGCGCCTCAAATCGGGATGTAACCACACCATTACTATCCCAGGTATGCCTGTAGTCCTCTTAATATCCTGCTTGTTCACATTTTTGCCTGTATGTCCTGATGTATGCCCTGAGTTTTTCCAGCAGCAGCAGTTGAAACCTTTTCTTGCTGGCGTCGACGCCAGAACTGTGGACTTCTTTGATTATCTCTCCGGTTTTGTGGAACAAAAGTGCCAGGTCGCCAGTGAAGTCAATAAGTCCACTATGTATAAAGCTTCTTTTTTTCTTCGGTAGACGATTTATTCCATCACTAGAATATCGCAAACAACGGTGACAACAACCCTGTCTGAAATGTTCAAAAGACAGTCAAGGCGACCACCGTTCAGACAAGCTGATATACAGGGTGTTTAAAAAGTTCGTTCCGATTGTAAATTGTATTTTGCGCAAAGCATTTAATGCTTCTTTCAGCAAATGTAAACTGATTCAGGTGAGAAATTTATCTTAATAACCGTTCAAAGCAATTTCAAACTAAAATTTGAAGAAATTATAATTTTTTTTAATTTTTGCCCCAACTGTACACGTACGCGAGGTTTTTCCCGCCATACTTTTGCTGCCCATTTTGTAGGTTTTCTATTTTGGCATTTTTATCGTTTTTTTTATTTTCTCTACTTCTTCACGAAAATGAAGGCCTACACTGTTTGTGCTAGAGCTCGGGCATCAATTTTTTATGGTCTTCTGGCCATTCAGTCAAAGAAAAAAATTGCCAAATTGTCGAAGAAGTCTGAACGATGACCCAACAAGTGATCAAAAGTAAAGACCTTAGAAGACAAAGGAATGGATGGCCGTTTTTTCACAAACTGTGTGAGAAATATTATCGAAAAATCTGTAAGTATATGCGTAATAATTCCACAAAACAGAAAGGTAAAAAAATTTCAACTTCACATTATCGATCAAAGTTTCGAGTACAACAGTATGGGGATAAGTTACCCAAAAAAGGTGGAAAGCCTTGAAGAGAAAAAGGCAGTGCACACTTCATGCAAGCATGGTGTCAGAGGGATTTACCAACTTTATACCAAAGGAGGACCGGCCGGTAAACTTACGTGATGTGAAACCCCTAAAGACCATCTGGATTATCGTAGGCGAGGCAACATACAAAGATCCAGCCCCCAGAACACTGGACGAGATTAGACAGTGACTAAGCTTCGCGTGGAAGAATGTGACTGGGCATGCTTTGGGAGCTCGTACATTCTATACCTCACCGCGTAGAAAATGTCAGAAAACATACAGGAAGACATTCTGCAAAACTGACGTTGGAGTTACGATCGAGACTGTTTCTTTTCCCATGCTACCACTCGAAAGGGGAGAAGTTGATTAAGTGCTATATATGATATGCTTTCTTTGTCTGATCAGGTAGCCTTTTTTATTGGGCCAATGGATCGAGAGCCGTCTCTTGTTTGCAACACTGTAATGCGTGTCGACCTGTGTCTCAGTTGTCAGCATTCAGGGTACTTCAGTATTCGGTGTATGCATATGTTAGGTGAGGCCATCCTCTTTTTCGAGCCCTGAGCACAGTACAGTGTTTTCTCTTCTGACGCCCTTCCACGTTGTCCTAACCTGAATGTGTCCATCTGATAGTTCTCCGTCTCCGCTGCCACTTTTGTTGAATTGAAAAGAAATGTTCTGTACACATTGCCGATGTTTCAAGTGCAAATCTTAGTTGTTGCCTTTCACGCCAGAAGACGGAATGGCCTTTCATCTTTCCTTGTATGCGCCATAAGCCCTTCCACACCCGGGTTTCTACCCTATTCTGGCTTTGAATTCGTTTTCTAGGTTTTCTTGTTTACTGGTTTTGGCCCTATCCCAAGCCATTAGCCTCGAGGAGACGTGGTTTAAGTTTGTTTGCCTTCTACTCTCTTATCTGTCTGCTGAAATCAATTAAATTTAATTGATTTCACAGCAAACCGCTTACTGCATAAGCCATAGAGCACGTGTTAACAGGGAATATCGTCTCCTGGCAACTAGAGCGCTGTCAGAATATGGTAAATGAATAATCATGACTACGGTAAACGATCCGCGAAGCGCTGTTAACGTGATTTTGCCGCACGATTTATACAAGTGATAGCGGTTGTTGTTGTTGTTTTTTCATCTTCCGTGTATTGCACCAAAGGTTGGTCTACAGAGGTTAGTTGACAAGTGAATCAATGGGAGGCAGCAAAGAAGGTTCTGCTAATAATACATTTCCTATGAGTCAATGACAAATCTTCAAGTTGCGTTTGTTTTTCTTTTCCTCTTTAGAAGATATTCTAAATCCATTGTGAATTAATTCAAAAGCACAATGAGGGTGTTATCCGCCTCGGCCTACGGCCTCGACGCATAACACCCTCCTCGATCTCCATAATTCTTCATAAGATACTCAGCCTCATTCATTAAAAGGTTAACTATATTTTTGTTGTTGCAAACGTCCCTTTGGGTTTCCTCTGTATTTCTAGAAAGTGTTCCTTCACGGTTAAATATTAAATTGAGAATCACATCTTTTCTTACTTTTAATTTTGCTCAGTGACTGATGCTGATAACGACGAAGTTCGCTGCCGGTGGGCCAAGGGATATGAGTGTGGTGGTATCTGTGGAGGAATGCCACATGCCTGGATGGAATATGTAAGTACCCTCTGCCCTCATGCGGGACGCGCGGGTTGGAGGGAGGTGGCAGTTTGGACAGATGATGAATTCTCGGTTGGGTGTTTGATTCCTAATTATGTTCCAAACTAACAATCACTTTACCATGATTAATAACTTTTTCTAGAACAAACCCCTCCGAGTAATGTTTTATGCTTGACATGTAAAAGAAGACATAAATAGGGACTTGTATCATGTCATCCACAAGTTTTACATTTATTGTTGAAAAAATGGCTTGACCACCTGCTACTTATGACGTCATATCTCGTAACCATAGTAACTGACCATCACTAAACTTGTCTCAAAATGCGCGTAAGGCATAAACGAACAGCTACTGAAAACTTGAGGTGCTGAGGTTTTGTCGTCTAGGAAGAAGAAATAAAAAAAACTCAAAGGTGGGAGGGGTCTGCACGAACTGAATTATGTGTAAACCTATTTGTTTCCAGTCGATGGACTATTAGTTGCTATTAGTTGTATAGATTGCATTTCATAAGATATTAATGACATCATGGTTTGCACAGCGCGAGTGTAAGATCACCTATAGCGCAGTTTACCACACTGGTTATTATGGCGTCGCAGCCATGATCGAAGATTTTGCCAAGCCAACTGACACAGAGGCCTTGAGTAGTATACCGCTACAGTTCTTGGTGTACGTTTTCAATTCGAATGAAGCGTGCGACGAACGTCCTGACTTCACGGAGGAGACGCGTCCAAAGGGGTCTTGCATTGGCATTCCACCTGGAGGAACGTATTTCGATCGAATCATCGTGCGAGCTGGAGGACCATCAAAGAGGTGACGTAAAGATCTGGTTATGTGTTGTTGTTCTTGTTGTTTTGTGTGTGGATATAGTCTACCTTTGCCTTGTGGACGTTTTACTGAAAAAATAAATCCAACTATAAAGAACTCACGCTGTACAGACTTATACTATACAGAGCGTGGTGAGATTCATTTCTTTTCTTTTTTTTTATCTGCTGCTTTCTCGCTTTTGTTAGTTTAATGCATATTCTTTTGCATATTTCTGAATTTAAAATCTTTTTTGGCCCACGAAGACCAGGGGCCAGTCGCATAAAAACAGTAAAGTTGGACAAATCAGCTACCATCTGCAGCTAAACCCAACTGATGATAGAAGTATTAACGGCTGTAGTATTAACAGCTTCATAAATATCACTGACTCCCCTGAATCTGCTACCACCCCCTCGGGGGATTCAAAGACGCCTTTTCAGAGGTTAGTTGCATAAATGGTTACGTCAGACGAAAACGCTAAGGGCTTTCGGTTAGCCCACTGAAACTCTTTATTTTTACGCCAGACGATAGTAGTAACCTATGACTTTAACTTTTAGGCAGCTTATGTCCCGGCGTTCTAGCCTCTCTGCCATTCAAAAACCTGTCCAGTCCGTCCAAATATTTTCTCTGCCAGGGTTGGTTCGACAGTGAATCTGTTGAAACCATATCATCTTTATTTACTTTTTTTTTTTCGTTTTCAAGGAAACTGTTTTCTGCACCCCAATACTTTCTGGCCATTACGGATACTAAAAAGCTTGCGGACACGAGGGTGTCCAAAATTATGGGAGTTTACTGGAGGTGAAAATCAACGAAAATCTTCGAAAATCGACTTGTTCCAAGCATAAATAGTAGTCTTTCCATCTATCACCAGCGTAGGTAGATGTCATTCCGAATCATTACTACAGGAAGTTACATCGCCATACTTCTTTCCAGTGAATTTGTTGAAGGTGCTAAAATCACTATCGCTCTTGCACGTAACCTCGTCTGTTTCATTGATTGTTTGAGCCCGAGTGTTGTACCCGGTAGGGAAACTTAAATTTGCACAGATGATTCCTCTGCGTGAAGTCGGAAGTTAATTTACTTGATTAGTTAATAATCCATTTTCCTTTATACTGGCTTAATGTGTAGCGGTGAAGCTATGGTGACGTCAGTGTTTACGATGAAGGGTTTGATTGGTTTCAGCGATAGATGCAAGCTGATTTGTCCGACATTAAGTTTTATGAAACTGGCCCCTGAGGTGATAGAAAAATTAATAGGTAAGGTTAAAACGTGGAACTTCACATGGGACGAACCTATTTCTACTGAGCGAGAAAAATAGATTTTGCTCATTGGTATTAGGTTCATCACATGTGAAAGTCGTTGTTTGACCTGGGCCTCCACCTCGTGGTTTAGGTCTACTATTGTCTTCATGATTGAGTTGTTGGTGGAGCCTGCACTTATATACCTCATTTACAAAAAGCCTGCACGTACGTATTTTCTTGAATAATAGCTGAACCTTGTATAAGCTCCCTTACTCTCCTTTCTTGAAATACATGAAATGATCATCTCCTTGTCATAATTGCCATCACCCTGTCATTCTGTCACAGTTGTTGTTTCAACTGTTCTTATGAAGTTCTATCCAGAGAGACTTAGAGCTCTTTGGAAATTAGAGCACTTAAAAAAACCTGTTTCCAGATCGTTTGCTGAAAATAAGTATTATACGAAGGACTTCTAGAGAGTACATTTAAAATCATCGCCTTGTTCAATTAATTGTTGTCCCTCTAATAACCTTCCATGATTTGAGGGAAAACGGTATAATTGATCTGATATTAACATGTATGTCTTCGTGGCGCAGAATCGTGGAGGTAACGACCAACAGCCCTCAAGGTTTCATCAAATCTCCAGTGGCTCTTTATGCACCGCAGGAGTATTACGTCAATGTCACGTGGACTCCAACGTCATCGAAGATAGAAACTAAGATATTTTGTTTTACTGGATTGGAGGATACTGGGTAAGGCATTCATTGAAATCTCATGCGCTATGGAGGCTATGAAATCTAACAGTGTCCAGTATTTAACAAATCAGTGAACAGCAAATTTCGCGCGTTTTGATTGGCCCCCGTAAGTCGGAATATCCTTGGCTATTCACTGTTTGCGACCGGAGACAAAATGGCGTCTCGTTTCGATACATTTTCGAAAGGCGAAAGTTGAGCGATAAATGAAGCATTCGTACAAATACGAAGAAAGCGACGAACTTTGGCTTGTCATTGTTTACTGGTGGGTAGAAAATTATTTTCGTGCTGAATTTGCAAAAAAAAAAAAACGCAGAAAGGCACTTGACGAAATCCCCGAAATGTTTGTAAATTGTAAACGAAGTTTCTACTAAGTGACGTTTTTAGTGTACAAAAAGTTACCTTTTTCATTTTTATCCAACTGATTTGGTAAATACAGAAACAACTATCTCCCTCAGGGTCAGTGAACAGCGCTAGAAATATACCGAGACGGGGGATAGTTGTATATAATGCCATTTTTTTCTTTTAACCAGTACATATGCCCTTTTACTGGATTTGCGCCTGGAAGAAACGTTTGGTCTCATCGCCAGCAAATTAACGGAAATTAAACACAACAGAAATGTGCTTATCAACTGCTAATTTTTCAGCTTTAAATTCGAGCAAAGATTTCATGGAAAAGACATTTTCGGGCCAAATGAATAAACGAATTGATAACTTAAGTGCATGTACTACTTTTAGTGTTAAATTTATACTCGCCAATCGCATCGAAAACAAACATTTCCAAAAATCCTGTTAGTCTTTAAGCAAACAACGCTGTCCTGTCTTGTGATGTATATGCTCCTTTCGTTGTATAAATAAGGGCTAAAAGTATACCGGTCATATGATGTTGCCATGTTTGAGGATTTTGGGGAGAATCTCTCTCGAACGTTACTTAAAATTTTCAAGAATAAATGAATGAATAAATAAATGAATCAGGCCTTAACCAAACGCTCTGATTTTAAAATATTTGTCGTTAATATTGTTTACAGGATAACAACAGACCAGCGATGTGTATCACTGCTTGTAAGAGGTAATACCAGTTACCAATTGAAATTCGATTTAAAAGCATGTCTAATAACACATTATTTATTACCAAACAATTATAATAAGTAAATTGTGTTCTCGGAGGGTGCCCTTGGAAATAGAAAGCTGTAGAACATGCCACGGATGCCGCTGATACCGTTTTGATTCAAGAAATATTGTCATGTGCCAATAGTAAAGTAATCTTCTCAATTTGACAGTCACCTCTGCATGTTAACTGTAAAAGACATCAAAGGAGCTTAAAGTAGCTGGGTAGAATAATGGAAGTACCCCGAGAATACGAACTGAAATCCAAATCCAAGCCCATATCCTGCATGCACTGAAAAAGTAAGGCTCTTTTATCCATCCATCATAGGTAAGGTGTCGTCTGTCTTTGAGCGATTTTTTGTTTCTTTTTGGCAGTTGCTCCACCACAAATCGTGTCTCTTTCGCCGATTGGCGAAGTTCTTCCAAAGACTCGAAAGTGGAAAATAACGTTCGACAAACAGGTAAACAAGCTGCAAAATGCAGAGGAACACCGAAAACTTGAATCAGAATAAAGGGATAAGAGTTGATCCCATTTTTTGTGGTTTATTTTCAGTTGCTGAGTATTAGCCGGTTACTGGGTACTTCTGAAAGACAGAGGGAAGGGTATAAGTTAATATATAAATTATAACCTGAATTAGAGTACTTTAACTGTCTAAATGGCACTTTGAATAGTGCATCTAATGGTGCCCGCTTACCCGAAAAAAGGCAAAGAAAATAATTGACGAACGGCAATTAAACCTGGAAGATTTCAATAAACCAACTCATTAACTACAAGATAACGTCGAAAACAATGCAATCATCGAATACTTTTTTTTATTATTTCTTGTTTATTCACAAACTTTGCCAAGGGGCCTGGATAACTCACGTAGCATCCTCCCCCCCCCCCCCCCCCCCACCACCACCACCAAAAAAAAGGGAAAAGGTGAGAAGGAAGGAGTGTGTGCTTACAAGAAATTGTACTTAAACATCTAAGTTTCTTTCAAGGGCTATTTTCTATAATTTTTGTTACAGTTTGTGCGGCCAACGCGTAGTAGTTATATCAGGATCCACCAATCAGACGGCACGGTGGTGTTCAGTGTCGACGTCGCCATCACAGCCGCTGTGTTGTATCCTGTTGGAAGTCTGGGACGGACTATAGAGTTCACAACTTCTGTGGTCTTTACGGAGAAGGAAACCTACTATGTGACTTTGGACCCAGGTAATTTTTCCCTTTACCATTAACATTACTCGCGAGAATATGCATGAATATTTGACATTAGACATGAATTAAAAAAAAAATTAAGACAACTGCAGTTATTTTCACAATCTATTACCGTGCGATACACATTGCGCAGAGCGGTTATTGTTCTCGGGACAATTTACTTGTAATCTAGCTGGAAACAGGTCTGTAATATTACAGGTGAAGCGTGAGCTAAATCTCTCTCACTGGTAGAAGTCTGCAGCGTTCTAGCGAACTGAGGTATCAAGCAAACGTCATGACATGGTTCGTACAATACAGTATATACGTTAAGGATAACGTTTATACTTGTTGATTCGTCAAAGGTTGCTCAAAGTCCATAGATGTGCAATTTTTACATATCTAAAACGCGAATCTTGTACTAAAAATAAGTCCATACAGGGCCTTTGCGGTATAGGGTAAATTAACAGGAACGACAAGTTCCCTGTATGAATGAACTCGTTACAAAAGCGAGAAGAATCAGTAGCCTCTTTAAATTGAGAATGCTCTATTTTGCAGGTGTAGCTAAAGGTGTTACCTACTGTGGTGCCGAGTCACCGCCTGTCAGGGATCCTTTTACATGGAGCATTCAAATAAGTACGGTGTTTACGCAATCATCATCTTCATCGTTTATATTCATCAAAGTTATCATCATGATCACATTAGCATGGTCATCGTCATCATAATTGTCATCGTCGTTTTCACGTTGATGATGGTGATGATGATCTTTAACGTCACCATCCCCATCCCAATCACCATCCCCATCTCCACTCCCACCCCCAACACCTACGCTATCGCCATGCCCATCACCATCTCCATCACTATCACCATCCCAATCTCCATTCCCACCCCCATTACCTACACTATCCCCATCCCCATCACCTTCACCATCCCCATCCCCGTAGCGATCACCATTATCACCACCATGATTATCATCATTGTCACCAAAATTGTTGTGGTCATCGGAAAACATCATCGTCATTGTCATCGCCCTTCTTCATCTCCTTTTCCTCCACCTCCTCTTTATCGTCATCAACAACGTTAGCAATGTATCGTCGTCATCCTCCTCCGCCTTTTCTTACTCATCATGATCATCATAAAAACTATCTTAACTAAGCATTATTTAACTGCTGACTTTAATAATCATTAGTATTGTTGATTAGTCACTCACTTGAGAATAGTTAAATGACTGAGCCACATATCACTGTTCCTTCACAGAGGATGTAACTGCTCCTGTGTTAACATTTGTCAACGCTCCTTCTCGCTCTGGTAGTGACGTCATCATCACGTGGTCAGCAAATGAGAATGTTTCTGCTCAGTGCACAGTCCAAACACCAACCCAGATCACGGCCCAACCGTGTAATATGTCTTGGAGTGGAACTAATCTTAGCGAAGGCTATCATAGCATTTACGTCCAACTGACGGACTGGGCGGGAAACATAGCGTCACCGTCCAGACACTCCTGGTTTGTAGGTAAGGCACAATACTGTAATTTAGTTACAAGATTCAGACTTTTGAACTTCGTGGACTGATATTGCTCTTGTACGAAATGGACCCTGATGTATAGACTTGAGGTATTTTAAAGGAAAGGTTTCAACAAAGCATAAAACAGTCTTCCTAATAATATGAGGGAGCTTAAGCAATCACTGCCACGTCGACATTTGTTTCTTTTCCAAACAGTAATATCAGATTGTCTACAACTGATCGAGTAATGTACAAGGACAATGTGATCATACTGGGAAACTAGCATAACAGTTAACTTCTATGGGAAGTTAATATTGTATTTATTCACACTTGAATTGTGCAGTTAAACGGGAGTGCAGTAAAATTAGGACAAGCGACATGACCGGATACTAGATAGATATAGTCCATATGAAAAGTACAAAAACCTTGCCAAGTAAAACTGAAGAGCCATTTCAAATTTTCGTGAAGGGATGTCCTGTTTTTTGATCATGTCAGCTTTGATTTTCTGTTTTCTTCCTTCCCTTTTCGTTCAGATCGTACACCTCCTCAGGTGACCATCACCTCCCAACCAACTTCACCAAGCAATCAAAACTCATTCACATTTCGATTTTCCTGTGGAGGCACATGTTCTTTCCAGTGTAGTGTGGCACAGATGGGGAGCAGACCGGCTTTTACTCAGTGTAATTCAAATAGATACACGGCCAGCAGCCTTCAGAATGGACTGGTGTATGTGTTTCAAGTCCGTGGAACTGACGATGTAGGAAACCAAGGAAGTTCCGTGAATTACACATGGAAAGTTGGTAAGAAGCCTGTTTAGTTTCTGATAATTTTTTTGCAACCCAATGAAGAGACTGTCCGTCTAACGTTTAGTCCATTTTGTTCACTGTTTGTTTGTTTGTTTGTTTTTTTTTTCAAATTTAACGTTGGGGAAGAAATTCCTTTCTGATGACAAAACTGCAGGTTTATGGCATGAAAATAGGGGAGGAGGATGGGGGAGTTGTGAAAGCATTTGCCTGCTGCCGGGATGACCCACTTTCGTATCCAGAAAGTGACAACAAACGTGAGTTTGTTGTTTGTCCTCGGCCCTCTTCCGGGAGGTTTTTCTTCGGGAACACCGATGTTCATCAGAAGTAATTTCCCAACGTTAAATTTAAAAATAAAACTGAACAAAATGGACTAAACTTGAGATGAACAACCGCTTTGGCGGGCTTTGGGTGATTCAAACGTATACGAAAAGAAACATGATTGATGTTTTTTGACTTTTGCAAAATTGACGGGATTTTAACGATTTCAGGGATTATTTTCAATCCATTTTCATTTTGTCCATTTGTGCTTTCCTTTGTTTATAATTTCCTGTTATTTAAGGTTAATTCCTACACCAAAGTGACAATGTTTTATGTTCTACACAATTTGGTGTCCAGCATTCGGTTATGTTCTCCTCTAATCCTCCTTAAGCTCAGCTGATTATAGTGATCGCGAGATCTTCCAGCGTTTTCGAAGATAGCCCTGTTAACAACAACATTATTAGTAGTAACTTTTATGTGGGAGGAACGACGTGAACCTTTTCTCTTTGGTTGTCGTTCAATAGATTTACAGCCACCAGCCATTTCAAGTATAACTGTACAAAGCGCAGATTGCACGTCAGATCTTAGTCCATCAGCTCTTGGAAGACCCTCTGTAAGTGACAATGGAGGGCCAAATATAACACTAACCTACACAGACATCCCTGGAGGTAGTTGCAGCTTTCAAAGGAAATGGACCGCAACAGACCTAGCAGGGAACAGCGCCTCTAAAATCCAGGTCATAAATCTTAGTAATATACAAGCACCTACGGTGATTTATAATGCAAATACTACTATCGCTTGCGGAAGTTTTGAGGAGCGGCAACAAGACATGCGCGAGGCAATCAACGTCACTCATCCCTGCAATCGACCAATCACAATAACGCACGTGGATTCCGTTGCTAGCATCCTTTGCGGTACAACGGTCACACGCACGTGGACGATAGCAGATGACTGTGGCAAGCAAGTGTCGATCGGCCAACGCATACGAATTTTACCGCTTCAATTACCAGACTATCCAAAGAATGGTCAGGTCAATGTGGCATTGAGAGAAGCACTGCGTTGGCCGCAATATCCAGGATCTGTCAGATACAATGTTTACCTCTGGCGATACGGTGATGCAAAGCCCTCATCACCAACCACCTGGTAAGCTTGAAGTCCCCTTCGTGGCTAAAACTATTTTTTGTACTTCTTCAAACTCTGTTGCCGGGTTCTGGTTATTGTCTGTGAAGGCCGGCTTAAACCTCAGGCTCGGTTCACCGTTAGCAAGTTGGGGATTCGCAGTTAGTTATGCGGAAACAGGGAAATTTGATCGTTAACCTAATTTTCTTTCTCATTTTTAGGACCCGCTATTATCGATCTTACAGTCCTCACGCAGGCTATCCAGCTGACAGTCGTTTACTATGGAGAATTGAATACGTTCTTAGCTCTGGTGCCTTGATTCCAAGTCCAGTCTGGGGATTCCAAACCAGGGCGTTTCCTGACTTTAAGGTAGAACAAGTCCTGGCACCACCAAATACCTTCTCGGGTCAAACATTCGAAGTGTCGTGGACTGTTCGAAATATTGGCAAAGTGGGCAATTTGTTGGTCACGTGGGTAGATGCTGTCTTTATTGGCAAAAGCACAGACTTCCGCAGGGCAAGGTAATGTCACATTTTTGCTGAACTGGGGCGGTTGACAGATACAATTTTATTTCGTCCGTGTTCAAGAAGGCTTGAGGCCAGAGTTACCAACCTTCTTTTCAGTTGTTTTCAGACACTGAGTGTTGATTGAGCGTACGTTCCTCCTCTAGCCAACCAAGTAAGCTGCGCGGTGAAAGAGGTGCTTACAATCATTCTGAAATGGTTTTCAGTTGAGAAATGTTTAGTTTGAATGGTTTCATCGTCCGATTTTCGTATACTGAGAGAAAGAGGCTTTGACAGATAGAAGCGCTTTGTTAACAGTTCAGGGCTTTCAATAAGCACCGACGGCCGATGAAACACGTCGGCTACTTTGATCAGAGAAGTCCGCTACTTTTTTCTATAGAAAGAACTGGGAAGCAACCAGTTTGAATAACGTCATAAATAAAAAAAGGGTTCATAAAATCTGAATGGACTGGTTTTACGTTATGCTTTAGTCATGTAGACGCTATATTTTAGTCAATTTTTCAGAAGATTAATAGGCTTACGTGCAAAGTAGGTAATTTAGTTTTCATCATTCGTTCATTGGTTGTAGGAATTGATTGAGTAGCTGATGCATCAAAACTGGAATGAAAGCTACATATTTTGAATAAAAAACACACTCTTTTGTCCTCAATTTAGTATTAGAACGTTGAAAATCGCATTTTAGGGCTTTGAAATTTCAAAATATTCTGGGGAAGTACGCCCGCAGATCCCCCTAGAAAAAGGGGGACTAACGGCCCCTTTTTGTTACAGTCGGATACTATAACTTTTAATTTATGCTTTTTTTGTTTTGTGTTTTGTTTTTTTTTTTTGTTTGTTTGTTTTTTTACAGTTTCTGCTTAATTTTTATACTCTTATAATCAGAAGAATTCACTTGAATCAAATTTCGATTAATTTGATCTTTGGTGGTTTTAAACAGCTGGGTTAGGAAGTTATACATATTGTAAGAAGAGGTTTGATGCTGTTCAATATTCCCTTTTTTATTTATAGGTTTGCAACCTCCGTACGTCACAGAGAGATCCTTTTCCAAAGCGATGGCTATACTTCCAAGGGGACAGTTCGTTTGAGGGTGGATGAGTTCGGCGTGTTTTATGTCTTTATTGCTACGGACTGGTATGACAGGGTAGGTAATTATGTACTCAATGAAAATCTACTGGTTGTAGAAATCTTTGCCGTCTGTAAGTGAGGGGCTTAGCTCGTGAAAAAAAGCCATGAACCTACTATAATTGCAAATACAGTGGAAGTTACCCTAACGGACAGCTCTACTTAAGTTAAGCGGACAGCTCTACTTACAGCAGCCTTCACAAAACCCCGTTTTTCTCAACTCGCATACATACTATCAGGAGAAACGTTGATTTTTACATTCCCGTAAGCGGGCAGCTCAAGTTACGGACACCTTTTTCTCGTCCCGAGGGTCTCCGCTTACGAGAGCTTTTATAGCGAATGATAGAGCGATTTTCGTATGACCTTGAAAAATGGTTTCGGTAAGTGTTCTTTATTTGTTTTATTAGCCAATAGACGAAAAGATCAAAACATGGACTCTTCGTTTTCCCGCCAAAGAAAATCCTAATATGGGAAAGGCATTGTTCGATTAGCTAATCGAGTTGCAGGATGACGTCAAAGGAAAGTATCGATGAATTTCCAGAAAGTTCTCGGGCATAAAGTTTTTTCACCCGAGCGTTCGCTTAACCAACCAAAATCCACGCGCGTTTGTATCTGTTCGATAAACCAATCAAATCACTCCATTTCCGTTCGTTTGTTGTTTCTGTTTTGTTTGCGCGTTTTCATTTCAAGGTCGTACGAAAATTGCTCTAAGCAAAAATTAATAAACTAAACGAACTAAACTTTTGCTTTGAGGAAGCGTTAAGAGAGTTTTCATTTTGTTGTTATTATTATTTATTTTTAGATATTTGACATGGATCGTTCTAATGATGTGCTGTTGGGGAATAATCCTGTTCAAGTGCTGCTCACTCCACCTCCCAACCTAAAAGTGGAAAAGATCGTTGTTCCCAGTCCATCCTTCTCAGGTAGGATTGTTATTGGTACCAGGAGGTATTCTATGAAGTTCTGGGCGATTGTGTGAGACCTTGGAATCCTTTGCCTACACCTTACCTTGCTCAGTTTCAGCTCACAACCCTATCCAACACTAGGCATCAAAAATCATTCTCTTTGCCGTTCTGCTCACAACTATCAATTAAGTACCTGATGGTTCATGTATTTCGCGTAAGTGCAGAGCTCCGAGAAATTCCTTCGTCACCCTTCGCTTAGGGAACATGAATGCGTCAGGAATTTAAAATGGCATACCACGTTTGCTATCTCTACCGTTTTCGTCTGCATTTTTTCCGCACTTAATAAACTCAGCACAAGAAACTGGTCTAATTTGTTTCTTTATAATCTTTTCCACTTTCCTAAAGGCAAAGCAATTGTTTTGACTTGGTCTGTGAAGAACTATGGGATGGGTGTAACTGCCTACGATGCATGGTACGACAGAGTGTACCTGTCCAAGGATAACAACCGAGGTTGTATTTACAAATACTATAACACAAGATTGTGCTATTATGAAAATAACTGCTGTTAACGCAAGGGGATTTTCATCAGTCTGATGACACGGGAGCAGTATTAAGATAGGGGCGGAAAACGGTTAAGGGGTGGGTGACTGTGTGAATGGCTGATGTCACTTCTGAGGAAACCGCGTCTTTATATTTCATTGTTTATGTTTGTGGACGATCAATTTAAGCCTGCAGTATTATTGTCTCATTATGTATCAGTAGTGCTTCCAATTTCCCTTCCTTAAATGGTTACAGTTGTTTGAAGACTAATTGATCTTACAAGGTATGTTAACTATTTTAGATTGGTCTGACTGGCTGTTGGGCACCTTCTACCACCGTGGAGTGTTGCCAGTCGATGCGAGCTATACAACAAAGAGAGCCGTCACGCTTCCGCACGCAATTTCTGGCAATTTTTCCATTCTTGTGATAACTGACGTTTATAACTACGTATACGAGCATAACGACGAGGATGACAATCTCAAGTCACAGGTACAAACATTTAGTCTCGACTTGTTATGATTGTATTGACAGCGTCATTTTGATAGTAAGGCGTATATCACACACCTGGATACGCTTCTTTTTACCCATAGGGCGTTGTCTCCTTTAACGTTCCCCCCCTACCCCCCTTCAGTGCAAGTACTCTTGCTGCGTTGCTTGACAAGCTGCATGACATGTTGGTTAGTGACTAATACCCCGGCCCGAAACAAACGTATTTTCCAGCTGGAATCCCTTCCCTTTTCACAGGGAGGTTCCCAGGGGATTGAAACGTCAGTCACTCAACAAACATCAGGGGCGCACCTGGCAATTGTTAAATTACAGTGTTTGACCCTCGATGATCGTTTTTTTTTTTTTTCTATTTTATCATAGTACTTGAAAATTGACTTAAGTCCTCCGCCAGACCTAGTGGTTCACTCTATTGCAACAGCGAACCAATACTACACGGGGGATGCGATGAAAGTGCAGTTTAACGTGTCTAACGAAGGACTCGGGGAACCTTTTTACCATTGGTGGAGAGATCGTGTGGTGAGTATAGTGGGGATAACTTTGAAAAAAAAAGTATTTTCGCCTTTTTTGGCAGGAATCGAACCAGCGACCTCCCGCTCTACAATCAAGCGCCCCGCCGACTGAGGTAATCCTGCCGCGTCGTTGACGATATTTTCAAACATTTATTTCCCAACTGGTAACTTGACTATTGGAGTATTTTTTTTGCTTTATTTTCAGACCATAACTAGCGTTACATCAAATTACCACGAATCCCTGGGAACGACCTATTTTTCGGGTGTTTTCCCTCCGCTGTCAATGTACTCAAGGACACTCTATCACATGATTCCTCCCAGCTGGCCGACTGGACAATACAACATCACTGTAGCGACAGATTATTTCAATGATGTTTTTGAATACATCTTTGATAACAACAATGCAAAAACTGTTCAAGTGAACATCGTGCAGAAGTTGCCTGATCTTACTGTAACGTATGTTAACGCTTCTGAGACTGAGGATATCATACAGGCTTATGTGAGAGTATTGTTCTTAGTGAAAAACGTTGGCCCGGGAAAGACCACCGAGGCACCGTGGGTCGATGCAGTCTACATCTCGCCACAAGCTGATTTCTATCGACCAAATGCGGTATGGCTAGGCGACTTTCCTCGTAGGATCAACTTGGATTCTGCGAATGAATACAGTTTGGACACAGGACCGATAAGGATTAACAGAGATAATTTCGGCCAGAGGTACATTCATGTCGTAACCGACGTCTATCAGACCGTCGCCGAGCAAAACGTCTCAAACAACATTAAGTCTTCCGCAAATGTCACATTTCCTCAGGTTTTGCCTGATTTAGTTGTGACAAATTTCTCGTTGGTGGGAAAGAATACCTTACTTAGCGATTCCGACATATCCTTGTGGTGGACGGTCGAAAACAACGGGTCCGGAAGTACCCTGTCAAATTCCTGGCATGACACTGTTTACCTTTCGACTTCTCCGATAGTGGAAGGAAATTCATCAAAATTGTCCGTTGTGTACCTCAGTCCAATACTGTCCCCTGGACTAAGGTACAACCAAGTTTCATCCACGAGGCTACCGTCAAACGTAGCTGGAAAATACTATCTCATTTTGCAGGTAAATGACGGCGCATATCTAACAGAGATAGACGATCGCACGAAAAACTCAGCTTGGGTGTCCATAAGGATTCTCCCAGCACCTTTGCCAGATTTGAAAGTCGTCATAGTTTCCTTTGTTTTCGTAGCAGAACGTCGTTTGCTGACGGTTTCCTGGAAAGTTTCAAACATAGGTAGCTGGATGCGTGAGAGCTATTCATGGGCAGACAGAGTTGTTCTTTCCCCATCAAGAGGCAAGATCGATCACGCTGATGCTCGCGTGTTGGCTTCCAAAACTGTCATTGCTAAGCTTGATGAGAATCAAGATTATGAGCTCTCCGTTTCCGTTCAAATTGAGAACACCATTAGGGGAAGATTTTATGTTAACGTGATAACAAATGTAGAAAAAAGCGTGACGGAAGTTTCAGGAGTTTCCAATAACATTGGTGTGGCGGCAGAAATTTTTACCGTTCCAATTCCCCCTGAAGCAAGGCTAATTTTAAGTATCGTATCAATGCCGCCTAAGATTACTTCGGGTATTCCCTTTTCCATCACATTTCGTGTAACCAACGTGGGATTTGTTACGACAAGCAAGACCTCCTGGACTGATGCACTGTATGCTTATACCAGGAACGATGCAAATAGAACAGACGTAATTGAAATGGGTGTGAAGCTTAAAGTTTTTTCCCATATTGGGGCCTTGTCGGCTCAGGCTTTCTACGAAGTGACATCCAGCATCACTGTTCCCCATGGACTAAACTCCTCAGCATTCATCTATGGTTTTGCTGATATATTCAATCCAAAAATCCCAGATGTCGTTGAACCAACTCAGCCCGACAATGTGACCCTCCCAACAGTAACGCCTCCAGCTCCACCCATAATAGTCATCAACGAAGGACTTCTACCAGACTTACTGGGTTCGTTGGGAGACCAGAATGTACGTACTCGCGGCGGTCAGCCATTGAATCTCACTTTTAACGTCACAAACGGAGGTGAATATCCTGTGCAGGGGCATGGTATAATGCTCTATATCTGAGCCAAGACTTGCTAGTTGATCCATTTGATGTCAGACTTGCCACAGTAAGGGCAGTTCATTTGGCAGTGAATGGCACAGTGTCCTTGACTGTTGTCGTCTTCATTCCTTTTGACACCTTAGATACGGATTATTACCTGCTTCTCTCAGTGGATAGTAAGAACACTATATGGGAATCTAATGAACAGAACAACGAAGCTTCCTTGTTGATTACAATCAACAAGATCTTCAGCAGTGACCTAGCAGTTGTGTTAGTTTCATCGACTGGTGGGCAGTTTCGTTACGGAGAAGGTAAGAACTTAAAGTCTAGAGCAGATTGATTGTCCATTGTCAATAATAACAATGGCAATAATTATAATTATGAGGATGAGGATGATAATGATAATGATACCACTAATTACTTTCCTTTTCTTGTTTTAGATGTCACTGTCAACTGGAAAATCAGAAATAATGGTAGCCAACGAGCAGAGGGTTATAAATGTGATACCGTTTATTTATCTCGAGACGATATTTGGCAAATAGAAGATGTCAGGATAGGAAATCCAATGTGTTCATACGTTACACTGGAACCTTATCAAGAAGGTGCAAACCCAGACAAGTCCTATTCGATGACAGAAAAGTTGTCACTGACAGGAATCGGTGGTTACCATGGGCTCGTAAAAACCCGTAGTAACATTCTCGACCTCAACCAACGAAACAACATCGCTGTTGGACCGAAAAATATAAATGTAACGTTTCCAAGTCTTCCACTAGATGGATGTGTTGATGTCACCTTAAAGTCAGGTGAGGAAAAGTCTTACATTGTAGAAAGTGTCCCTGATGAAAGAACGCTTATCGTAACCGTGAATAGCAGCAGTGATGATGCAATCCATGAGATGTTTGTCAGGCACGCTAAACCAGCCACTGCTTATCAATATGACGGCGGTCCACGATTTGTATTGTCTGCAGACCAAGAAGTTATTATACCTAAGTCGATTGACGGTAGGTACTATGTCTTGATAAGACGATCTGACATGTCTGCCAATGCATCTACTTCGCGACTCTGTGCACGGATTGCTAAGTTTGAAATCATTCGTGTTTCTCCTAATGGTGTGGCTCCCCTAGGCAATGCCACTTTGCGTTTTGAAGGAACTCTTTTCGGACAAGATGTTGAAGCCTTCCTTATCGACGCTTCTGCAATGCAAAACGTTTCCATAAAAGCTAATGAAGTCTATCGTATGAGCTCAACAGAACTGTACGCCACGTTTGTCACGACAAGTTTTATTGAGGGTGCAACCTTCCACGTCAAATTAGTAAACGTAGATACTAAGGAAGAAGCCATTTTGCGGCGTTCTTTGGCCATAACACGAGGTGAACCTGGGCGGTTAGAAACACATGTGGATTTCCCCGAGGCGTTGCGAATGCTAGGTCCGGAAGAGAATACCGGAGTGGTAACGGTATTGTATGAAAATGTTGGGGATACCGACATTACTGCTCCTCTGTTGGCTCTTAGTGTGACCGGTAAACAAGTTCAGCTTCGTCCGGTTCAGAGAGACAGACCTTCGTCTCAAGCCTCAACTACCGTCGTTTTCCTTGCGCAAGCATTTCGAGGTCCAGGTGGCATCCTACCTCCAAAGGCTTACGGAGAAATCACATTTGATATAGTGCAAAGCAATATGAGGGGGGCAGGAGAGTTTGCACTTCGGATTGTTGTTGGAGACAAACAACCTCATATTTACATGAACAGCAGTGACCAACTTAAACCCGACTTTTTGCGCGGAGAGCTTTGGGCTCCAGTGTGGAGAAACTTTTTGTTTTCAGTTGGACGGACCGTTTCTTCGTTTCAGAACCGAATGACTGCTGCAAGTACTTTCCTTAGTAGGTCAGGAAGGCGGGTCAACTTATTGACTGATCTTGTTCAGTTCCAACTTGATGTGGCCAATGGCAAGCTTACCGGTAACTTAATTTATTTGTTTGTGTTAATGAGTGCTATATAGGAACCATAGGCAGACTAAGCAAAGACAACGCCACGATAGAGTCGATGGCGCGCGCAGATCAAAAAACCTTATTGACCAATGGCAGAACAGCAAATGAATCAACTGGAAGTCGCGTTCAGTCAGTTTCGCGTTCTTTTGCCTACTCATGTTGTCTTTACTTAATCTGCCAATTGTGGCTGGGGACTAGTTTCAAGTCCCGCTCTAGCCAATAACTTAATAACTGGAGTTGTTTTTCGGTTTTAAATAGCCAACTGATTCGCTTTCTGTTAATTGGAAATTTCAAACTATTTCTCTGTTATGTGTCATTTGAATTTTTTTGTTTCTATTATTATGTTTCATTAATACCCTTTAGCTTAAAAGCTTCTTTCCTTCTTTGGAAAGGATTGTCACGGCATTTGTTTGCCTATTTTTTTTTAGCCTGGCAATCAGGTGGTTTGGCTAGCAAAACATACGCCCTTTGATTTGCAACAATGTGGTACATTTTGTGTACTACAGCAAGATTGCACGGAGAAAGAAAATCTATGATTACAGATCTTGCCCTTGTAATTTCTCCATTTATCTGTTTTCTTTTTTTTAATGACGCATATTATATACCTCATGTCGTTTATTTCTTTGTTTAAGGTGAGCCACTCAGTTTGGAAGATGACTTAAGTGGCCAGTCCTCACCAGATGATTCACTGCCTTTAACGTTACAAAGAATGTATAGTCCCCTTCTCACTAAACGTAGAGGCAAGGGTGTCTTTGGCACCGCGTGGATGTCGCCTTGGTGGTAGGAAAACCTTTTTTTATGACGTTAGCTTTTCCCTTTGGTTTGCTTCCAGTCCCCCTCTCCCCCAAAAAATCTTATTTCCTATGCCATCAGGTTATATTCGACTCTCCTGCCAGGTTGTACAATTCATAATACAGCAGTCAACGACAAATACCAGTTGAGGTTCGAGCTTAACAACATTCTTTGACTCTACTTCACCTGTAAAAATATGCCAGAAATAGAAAACTCCCCCTCCTTTCTCTTTGAAATCTTGGATTGTTGTCTGTATTGTTTGGGTAGTAGGAATAAAATCAAACACTAGGACGGCACAATTGGGAAAAAATAAACAAAACAAACAAACAAACAAACAAATCAACCTTACCAAGTACCTCTTCTTTGCGGAGCTTCTCGTGATTCTGTTTCCTTTCAACCAACTTATAGGGAAGCTGAGGTAATTCAAATTACGCAGAAGGCGATAAAAATAGTTCAACTGCGAGAGGAACTTGTGTTTGACGTCAAGGAGACTGGGCTTTTTGAGTCAACCGATGGAAAGAGAATTTTTGTTAACAACACAGGTACGTTTGCTATTTTGTCTTTATTTTTTCGACAAAACTAGCCGTCGACTGAAATTTGGTAGTAGTTCGCATTTTCCTGTCCTTCAGCACATGATAAACAGTTAAGACCTTAAAGATATATTGTTCTCATATCCTAGAACCACTCGCTGACAGGTAATCCCAGGGTACAAGACAGTCTTGGTACAGTAAAAATGCGATTCAAGAATCACATTTCTTGTCCCTTCTTTTCGATTTAAGTTACGTCTAAATTTATGTGGAAATCTAACTTTCATATTTTTGTATGTGAAAGCGGTTGTTTAAAAACCTACTGGTCGGAAGGCAGTACATTTTATTAAATATGCAGTTAAACAAACGCTTGTTTTAAGCTACGTGCAAACGAACGCAACAACTCCCAATATTGTTTGGTCAACATTGTTGGGAGTTGTGGCGTCCGAGTTGGCAGTGGTGTGCAAGCGGGTGCAGCAACTCCCAACAATACGGGGACCTGCAGTGCATTGTGGGAAGACAACCCATAAGACTTTGAGACCATGTGTACTGCGCGTGCGTGGCCCCAACAATGTTTTGAGAGTCGTGCAAACGAATCCAACATTATCACGCTACGCTTCGGTGATTATGGAACGAAAGAAATGTTGGCAGTTGTTGACTTGAAAGTTTGACCGGTTTCAAATGTTGCGCAACGACTTGAATAAACATGCAACTGGGTGTGCAAACGGACGCAACATGTAACATCTAACAAATAACAAGTGGACGAGTTGGTCAAACAGACCATCATTGCTAAATCACAAAACAAAATGCCCTCTTATGTCTGCGCCGCCCGTACTCGTAAGTTAAAAAGGAGCTTATAACTCAAGGAGAACCCGCTCATGGGTTGGGCTTTCACAAATGAAATTCAGAGCACAACTACTTTGGTATATTGTTTATTGCTACATGATAATTCATGATAATTTGCGAGTAGTTTGCTGAATAGTTTGTGTGCGTGGCAAATTAAAACAAAAAAGAAAGAAAGAAAGAAAGAAAGAAAGAAAGAAAGAAAGAAAGAAAAGAAATTAAAGGTGACCATTGTAATTTCTTGAGAAAGCACGGCGGTTTGTAGCTACTACTTTCGCCATGATTGCCTTTCAAATTTGTAGTTATCATGGAATAATTTGTGTTTGTGTTAAAAGCTTATGATTGGATGCCAAAACGTGTGCTTAGCCTTTGAGCGTGCAGAAAGACTGTATACATTTAGCCTATAATACAATGATTCCTTCTCGTATGCAGAGCTTTATTTGTATGACACCAGCATTTCCACTGTATTTACATTTAACACTCTGGAGAAACATTTGATAAAGATCCAGAAGGGAGGACAGGCTATCAGTATAGAGTACTCACATGTAAAGAAGAGACCATTGACGTTAAGACATTCTTCCGGAAGTAAGATTACCGTTACATACAGCGACAATGGGCTGTTACGAGAGGCGCGATTGGAAGACGAGTCTGGAAATGGACTAAGATGGTAACTGAATTTTTTGGAACATTTCTTTTCCGTTTGTTGAGTCACGTGCATGAAAATTATAGTGGTTTTCGTAAGAATCTTAAATTACAAACCGAATCTGTCATAGAAATTGCCACCTGGTTTTAATCCTGTTTAAAATAGGAACCCCTTGGCATCAGAAACACTTAAGGGATTGTAGCACTTTTGAATATGCTCACCACGTTTGCCCTCGTGAGAGATTTGTCTTGAGAATTAGTTCATTATCTCAAGTGGCCGCTACTTTGGAGTTCATTGTGTAAGCGAGATGCTAAAATTGGACCAAAAAATGTTAATTTCCTTGCAAAATTATCTTTATGTAATTCAAAAAGGGTCTAAATTTCCTAAAAATTGGTCTCCGTGAAAAAGCTGAACATCATAAAAGGCACTATTTACCGATACGGCGGCTATACTGAATTAATAAGATTTAAGGAGTATTATGGGATGCCCAGGGGGCGTGCGCACGATCCGATATACTCGCTCAGTATTTACGCGTGCTTTGTGGGCCAATTTTCCCTTAAGTTTTCCTATAAAAAGATTATAATGGGAAAAAAGATCGTTGAGCTGTTTTTGGATGTAACAATGATCGCCTTTTTCCCGTGAAGTTCTCTTTTTGCCCGAAAAGCGAGCGTAAATGCCTGAGCGAGACCCCCTGGACATCCCATAATACTCCTTAAATCTAATAAATTCAATATGGCCGCCTATTGGTAAAAAAAGGATAGAGGAGTACTAAAATCGCAGAAAAGTTATTCTTAGTGGATTATGCCTACACTACCAACTCTGAATTTATTGTTGACCCGAGAGTTTTATTCCATGGTTGATTAATTTACCGCTATTTGCACCTAAGTTGATCAAGTGACTGCCAGGGGAGTGTGCAGATTGGTTCTTTGACAACATTATGGCATGAGGATATTGCTTTCATAGACGATACACAGACATTTAGCTACACTCGTGAACCTGTCCTTCAAAACCAAACCATCATCAAACTGGGGTCGGAGAGGGGAGGGGACGACTTTATTCAGTGTAAGAGGAGATTACAGTTTTGCGCGAAAATAGCAAATACATAGAGACATGTCTCAAGAATTTTTTAGGTTTCAAGATAGAATTCTTTTTAAGGTTTTTACCTTCTTTAGTTTTACTTAAATTCCTTGAACTTGATACGCAGTTTTTACACTTACGATGAAGACAGCCTGATATCTGTTACCGTTGGAGAGCAGATCACGCGTTACAAGTACAACTTAAAAGGTGATCTCACAAGGGTTATTTACCCCAACATGGCTGCCGTCGAGTACTCTTGGAACCAGTTTGAACTTCTCAGTGGAATAGCAAGTTTCAATCAAGAAAAAAGGTTAATTCAAGGATTTAATTTTTCGTACGATTGGAATGGTAAGGTGACGGTATTCAGAACCCCACAGCGCGACTCTGTAGAACTTGTATTCAGCGAAAAAGCAGAGATGATGGATATTATTAGCGGAAGCTTTAGTGATCTGAGATTTGAAAGCGCATCAAAAGATGGCCAAGTAATACGGACCATCAAACAAGGAGACCAGGTAAAAATAACAAATTATTTCGGCTTTTAGTTGAAAACACCCCATGAAATTATTACCCAGTGGTGGTTTTCTTAATCCAAAAACAGCTCAGAAATTAGGTAGTGAATGAAATATTTTGAAACTACACTTAAATTTTTGAAACCCACTAAGTGATCAGACAGGTCCAACTAGTTTCTGGTGATGTTACTGTGACCTCGTACTGAAGACTTCATGGAAGAACTTCGATAATGGCACAAATTTTTGTACATCTTCTTTCAAGTTACCTCTCAAAGATTTTCCAAGTTTCAAAAAAAAACATAAACAAACAAAACAAAATCGAAAAAAGAAAATCAGGAAGAAAAAGCAGCTGAGAAACGGTATTATTACAAATCACTTTAACTGGTGCCAGCCTTTCAGAGAAGAAACGGTTTAGGTGAAGTGAAAAAAAAAATCCTGTATTATCCTTACTATTCAAGAGAAATGGAAGGAGAAGGGCCCTTATTTGCTAGTTTGACCGAGGGGACAGACGCTTTTTTGAAGGAGCGCACTCAGGATTAGAGCTGGTGTGTGCTTAAATAGAATAGTAGGAACTTTCAGATCCAACGACGTGGACGGCAACGACAGCGTCAAAAAAACAATTGGTTTAATAAGCAAAACAACAACTTCGCAGGTGCATCAGGCTTTTTTGTACATTTCTTTCCTGTTTTTGCACGACTACGAAGTGAAAATGCCCAATTGTGCGTTTTATGGAGGACGCAAACAAGCAACGACGAAATTTTATTTCTCTTTCTGAGCTTGGCTATGGTCACTTGAAATTTAGCTTCAGGAGGGTTCGCCTACATTTGACAAAGTAAGTTGGTAGGAATAATCCCGATAAAGACTGAAGGAACGCAAATTCACTTTTTAAGCAACGTTCTCGTTGCCGTCGCGTCGTTGGATCGTAAAGTCCCCAGTAAGTGGTAGACTGGGGTGTTTCTTGTTCAGCCGTAAAATTGTTAGTTAAGACTCAAAAGGGACTAGTAACTGGACAAACACTTCTTTACAAAGAATTTGTATTGACCCTTCAGCTTTATATACTTGAATATTTCAGGTTATAATGAAAAGGCAGTTCGACAAAAAGACCAATACCATGACGGTCGTCGACGCTAACGAGCACGAAACGCAATTCCTGCTTTCAAAGAAAGAAGCAAAAGTATTGAATACAACAGATCCGGATGGCTTTGTATATGAAAACGTCTATAGTAACGAAAGCAAGCTAATTAAGTTCAAGTACCCGGATGGCAAGACTGAACTTTATGACTATGATAGCTCTGGCATACTGGTCAAGTTCACCGATAGGAGTAGCAAGGAACTCAGGTTTCAGTACGATGAAAAAGGCAGAATGGTAAGTTACTGTGTAGTAATGCTACAATCGGCTTCAAAACTAGGTGAGGAACTAGTCCTCATTGTCACATTTTGCGGGTACTATTTACTTTTAAAAGCACAAAATGTAAGTGACTCCTCCGAACAATGTTTTGCCGTTGTTCAAGCTGCCATAAGGGCGCAACAAAGAAGTCAACATTGTTTTGGGGAAGTGAGGAGGGATCTAGAATGTTTTGTTATTCGACCTATACCCCATTTGACAACTGGCAGTCTTAAGACGATATTGTCGTCGGTTGTGGCCATGATCCAGATAGACCTAGTGATCATTTGTAACTAGTGCTGTGGACTCTCGAATCCGGGACGTCTCAAAACCTTGCTCACCCTACCACAGTATTCGCCATGCTTGTAAATGTAATAAACGCTATGGTGCAGATAAGTCTCCTCTTACGTAGACTTTATGCCTTATCTTCCAACACTTCCTTCACCCGCCTGTGGAGTCTGCGCAAGAATAAGTTCAGTTATCAAAACCAGTCAGCATTTTTAAAAACACGAACAACAACAACGAACACTCATCTCTGGGAAGTTAAAAACCACTTGGTATGCGGCAAATCTCTGCTGGCATTGACCCCCTCTAAAGTGTTGTCTTTGGACTTTGGTGGGTAATCTGTAGGAAAGGATCTTGACTGATTCTCCTTCTGCCGTACCAGTACAGTACCGTAAACAGAGAGTGAAGACGTTTGCCATTACTGAGAGATTGGCCAAAAGGCTGATGTTTTGCGAATTTCAAACATTGCTATGATAGTCTTTTTTTTGTGATGTTTTACTTTATTTTATCACTTTTCTTTTGCAGGTCAGAAAAGATGTGGAGGGTTTGGCTTCTTCATATTTTTTACACGATGACGAAGGGAGTGTCAACCAAGCCAGTAATGATGTCGGGACAATAAACATTGATTACGATGCAAAAAAGAGACCAACCAGAATCATTTACCCAAACAAGCAGGACATCAACTTCAGATACAATGATCTTCACCGCCGCGTCGCTCTGACAGTGACCCCCTCTGGGTTAAAACTTACTTACACATACGACCAGTTTAACCGGTTAGCTCAGATTGGACGGGTCTCCCAAAGCGGTGCAGAAGACATCCTCTTGAGAGTGGAATATGATTCACATGGAATGGTGTCAAAGCGAATTCTTGGGAGTGGAGCCTATTCTGATTACCTCTTAGACTCAAAGAATTTCAATTTGTTACGTCTGAGGAATTACTTCCCAAACGGAAGCCTGGCGTCTTTCTTTGAGTACAACTACGATAATAAGGGGCGTATCATGCAAGTGAACACGACATCAGGTAGCTGGCGTTATAAATATGACGCAGCTTCGCAGCTCGTAGAATCAGAAGATCCACAAGGACAAATTCTCCGCTATGGGTACGACAAGCGAAAAAACAGAATTTACGTCTCAGAGGAGCCGGGCAACAAGACTTTGTACGCAGTAAACGAGGTTAATCAGTACGTAGCTGCAGGAAATTACGACATAAAATACGACTCCAATGGAAATATAAAAGAAAAGATACATAAGGAAGTACGGACTGACAGGCTGAAAGTCACATTTAGTCCAGAGGACGTCCTGCTACAAGCCGAAACTCCTAACAAGAGGTAAAAAAAATATTTAATAAATATCAGATGTGGATGCAGGGAGGAGGGGGGTTACGGTTGTCTAGATACCTCTAACTACGCCAATATGATCCAAGATTAGTAAATGTTCTTAGATCACAGATAGCAATTGAATACATACGTATAAATACTACAAAAGGAAAAAACAACGTTCATTTGGAATCAGAAAATTAGTTATATCATCACATGCTTTATCTTTTGAACGACTACATAAGGGACACATTTTAGACGAGGAATAGCAAGTTGGAGACCCCTTTTCAAATTCCTGGATTCACCTTTAAAAGCAATTAGAAATATTTACACCCCCACCCCTCCTGCGTTATGGCCCATCTCGGATGTTAGTCATAGTTCTTTAAAGGAAAAGTTGCCATTAACTTCCCATTCATTTTCTTACATCGAATTCGAACTATGATCTTCGACTTGGAAAGCAGTTATTAGCAATTTTGCTAGCGGATTCGTTTGCCAGACATGCGGATTGCTTTATAATCAAACCAACAGCACTAGAGAGAAATATAAGGACGACATTCCGTTCAAGTTGAAATTGGCGTGAAGCTTCTACGAAATAAAGTTTAGAAAAGTGGTGGCTGGACCAGGTTCATAGAGACGAAAACAACTGACCAAACGTTTCGACAAAACATTGCTTAACATTTTTGTCGCATCAGCTTTGCCACTAGATTTCACGTGGGACAAAATGACGTCACATATAGCTGCCAAGGAGTAGTGCGGCATCCAATATGGTGTCTTGCGATACTTTATTGACATTTTTTTTTTCATCAGCTGACACTTGATTAAGTCAATTATTTGTCTCCGTGAATTGAAAAAATAGGCCTTGGAAGCTGACGTTTACAGCGCTAGCCTCATAGTGGTAAAACCAAATTTTTGGGTGACAACCAACAATGGAGCAGCCCCACGGCTGGTGTAGTCTTCCGCTCAACCGTTTTTAGTGTCGTCACGCAAGGGAGGAGCTGCGTGACGACACTAAAAAATGATTGATTTCTCGTAGATGTAATTTCATATATGACAGCCTGGGAAACTTGTACAAGAAGAAATGTCGTCAGGAAGAAGTGCAGTACATTGTTGACCCTTTTGGCAATCCAGGAGCCGATATTATTGGCCAGGTAGATTAGATTTTATCGCTCTGATCCAGTTTCGTTTTCTTTGCAAAGTTACTAAAGTAAAGAAATACATTCCTTACATGCTAAATCATGTCACTTTGTTTTCCTTTGTTAGATATCGGGGAGAAATGTAACACATTTTGTTCACTGTGAAGAATTTGGTTTAGTTGCACTCGTTGATATGAATGGAGACTTGTACTACTACGAGTTTGATGGCACAGGGTAAGAATCAACGGCAATTGAGGGTTCTCGGTAACTTAGCAGCTACCCCTCCCTTAAGTCAACATTGACACTTACTTCTCACTTAGGGCAAAATTGTGACTTAGAGGAGTGATAGGTGGTCTGTTACCCAGAAACCTCAATTGATCCGAATCAACTTCCCCCTGTGTACTAAGTAACCCTTCTAGTTGATTTTCCATTTTGACAGCCCATCTCTGTGGGGTATGTAGGAATGGTTAGTTTCTTATTTATGTATTTAATAGACAGGAGAAGTCAGTACGTCACGTTGTCATGGTAGCAAAACTTCTGGATGACAACAAACCGAAAACATCACTTATAAAGTGAATTCGCAGTGTTTCAAACTTCATCGACCTTATGCAATTTCATTTAATTTGTCAAATGTTGGCGAAATTTTCTGGGGTTAAATCCGAAAGGACCGTAAGGACCGTATCTAAGTTAGTTTACAAAAGAAAAATAAAATTTTGTGCTCACCTACTTCGTAAAGCGGGTGCGTGAAATTAGGAAGTTTCACGTCGCAGTCATACAACGACGGCTAAGAACGTACAAAAAGAAAAAACGTGATGCACGTGCAGAGTTGTTGTTTTGCTGATATAAACCTGTTACTTTTTTCCTTTCCTGTTTGCCGTCGCCTTCGTCGTTAAGCTCCCTTTTGTTGTGATACAGAAATTTTGCTACCATGGTAACGTTTGACGTCATATTGTCACAAATGGACGTCTATTGAAAAAATGGCCAACCTGTAAAACGGATCCATGAAAAATTATGGAGTGCGAAAATAAACATTCAGAACGTCAAGGGTCGGAAAAACGTGAAGTTCAACAGTTTAAGACTGGCTTCTGATTTGTGCGCTCTGGATGCGTGATCACTTGTTGCTCCCATCTTTTCCCGCAAGACTAGATGAGGCCATTTAAAGCAGGTTTTTCGGGAACCGGGATGTGGTCGGGATTGGAGACGTTGGTGGTTTATGACGGAATGGAAATCTATCTTTTTCTTATTTAGCTTAAAGCTCACTATTGAGAGCCCTGAACAATATTATCCTGACTTCGAACAATTAATTAATTATTCTTTTACGGGCAAGAAAATTGACCAATAAAAAGAAGTTGTTGAGATTGAAGAAAAATGCTCTGTCCTCCTGAGCTCACGAAAATTAGGGTTCAGGGGACAATAATTTTTCAATTCCGAAGTATCCATCGTACACGATCTCGGAATATTATTCAAATGTCAAGTTCACCATTAATTCCTTTCTCTCCACTACAGGTCTGTCGTTGGAGTACTGGGTCCAAGTGGTGATCGCGTCAACAAATACAAGTACGATCCTTTTGGTAGAATGTTGGAAAAAGACGAGCAGTTTCCGCAGGACTTCACGTTTGTTGGCCAGTGGGGAGTGACTGCGGAACGCGAGTTTACGGATGTCTACTGGATGCGGTCCAGATATTATGATGCACAGTTTGGAAGATTTTTTAGCCTTGATCCTCTTGGTAAGAATCCTGGGGTAGAAGAGAGAATTAACAAATACTTTTTGGGCGTGTTAGGAAATCCTCTAAAGATATCAAGATATCCTTCGCACATATTGATAAGGCAATGTACAATTAACTATCTCGCGATAGAACCAAATAGTAAACCAATCATCCTTTCACCATGCTGCCTTGAAATGTCTTTAGAGAGCTTAAGCAACGGCGACGGTAACAAGAACGGCAAAAAACAATAGGTTTAGATTGGCAAAACAACATCTTTGCACGTCTATCACTCTTTTTTGTACCTTTCTTTGCCGTCGTTGCACTGCTACGACGTGAAACTGCCTAATTTCACGTTTGTAGGGGACGTGAACGCAAGATAACGACTTTCTTTTTCTTTTTCTGGACTTTTAAGCAGTCCTTTAGAATCCAATTCCTGAAAAATTCGCCAACATTTGACGAACTGAACGAGATGGAATACGCGCGATAAAGTTTGAAGCAAAAATGACGTTTTCGTAGCCTTGGACGTCGTTGTTGCTTATTAAGCTCCCTTTTGCCGTGTAACAAACTATATTAAATAGTGGCCTAAAATTGCTGAAGTGTACCTCTGCGCGCGTTACCTTTCGCCAGCGTTTGCCCACAGGCAAATAGTAAATCACAACGTTCGCTTTCCTTTTCTCATGTTATGAAACAACATGGATGCCTATCTCTTTTGCTATTCTCTTCGTTCCAGGTTTTTCAGGAGAAAGTATTAATCTGTATTCTTATGCGGCAAATAATCCGGTCATGCTGAAGGACCCGCGAGGAAGGTGCCTTAAATTTGCCAACGTAGCTGGGGGGCCGCTTGGGGCGCTTCTTGGTGCAGGAACAAGTGTTGCTGCATATGTGGCTTCTAAGGCGGTACACAATCAAAAAATTACAGTGGGAGGTGAGAAAGTTTAAACCTCGTGCAAATACTTGATAGACCCTTCCACGACTATTTGAGCTCTTTACGTTTTCCAGTCAGCGAAAATCCATCATAACCGCTGAGACAAACTTACAGTGCCCTTTTCGTATTCCTTTCCGATTGTGGATCAGACGCAGCCTCATCCCCGGCTGGCCAGTTGCGCTTGGAAGAGGAAGGGCGGAAGAGGCTTGAGTGCAATAGTACATGGGCTGGCCAATTCCCCGACAAGGATCATGAGGCGGTAGCGTCATAACCAAATTCTCAGGGAAAGACTATGTACGAAGTCGGAAGCGGCTCGAAAAATAGTCTGCCTTCTTGCTACCAGCAAATTGTAGTTGTAATTGTAAATTGTAATTTGGGACCCACGAAGCACTTACGAGTTCATGGCAACTTGTTGAAACGTGTCCGTGAGTTCCTGATCGAATTGGAATTTGAAAGTGTTGGTTTTTAAGGAGAGGGAAAAACTGGAGTTCCCGGAGAAAAACCTCTCGAAACAAGGATGAGAACCCACAACAAACTCAACCCAAATAATGACGTCGAAGCCAGGATTTGAACCCCGGGCCACATGGGTGGGAGGCGAGTGCTCTCACCACTGCGCCACTCTTGCTCGCTAAAAATCTCAAACTCATGTGTTATTTTTCCAAAGTTATCAAGGCGAGCCACTGTTCAAGAAAGACAGTGCAGTACATATCAAATTAAATGTAACTACTGTTTTAGGTCTTGTATCAAGTGCGGTGACTGGCGCAATATCGTCGTTTGTCAGAGGCCCAAGTAAGTATACATGTATGTGCAATGTTATAAGGAATCATAATTAAAGCAGACGAACAACTCAGGTTATTTGAAACACAATCCCCTATAGCGGACACAATTTGAGGGAATAATTGACGAGCATTCGAAATGTACTTCACTTGGTGATGACGTCGGTGTGTTTCATAGGTTATGTTTACACTAAAGGATTCATAAATGTGTCCGGATCTATTTCATTCGGGGTATTTGTATTGGAAGTCGTTTTCATGCATCCGAGAACATTCATTCAGATACAGATTTCTCCCTTTAGATTCTAGGTGCCGTTTTTTTCTGTCCTTTTAATGCCAAATACTATTACCGTTATTACCAATTTGTGCTCATTATTATGAAATTATAAACATAAATAACAAGTAAACAAGGATGCCATTACGAAACTTCTAATAAGCTTACAAGTTACTTTTTTCATAATCTGATCAACTTTCAGAGGTCCTCGTTGGATTTGGTACTTCGCTTCTTGGCTCTGTAATTGAGCAAAAGATTGACAATGGCAGGGTCAACTGGAAGAAAGCATTGGATGATGGAATCAATGGCGCAATATCCTCGGCTCTTCCTCCATTTAAAAGTAAATTACTTCGAATTATGTAAAACCTCTTCAAACTTTTCTAATGAGGGTAAAGACGAGTCAGACACTAATTACCATAAATTGTTGTTTTGTTGCTGTTCAGAGTTAAGGGGAAAAACAATTTATACGGATTGGATCAATGAGAAATACCGCCAGCTTTGGTTTGTCTACAGACGACAAGGCTACGTAATTAAAAATGCCCAAACATACAGTAACCCGCGAGTAAGGGCCTGCATTTTCCATAGTTAGCTTAAACAGGTTCTTACTGAAACAGTGATTGCAACAAATTTAGGCTATTTTGGTTCTTAAATGGGTTCTTATTTTCTGAAGAAAACTTACACCGCAGCCCTCTTACAGAACACCTATATTCCATTACATTGAAGTTGACAGAAGTGATAAGACACCCAGATCTCCACAGAGAGTTGTACAAAATTTTAGGCTGAACGGGTTCTTTCAAAGAGGGGACCTTTATCTGGCATATTTTAGCCTAACAGGTTCTTAAAAACCAGGTTCTTAGTAACATATTTCATAAGTTTCGACTAAAAAAAATGATTTGTCTAAAACCATTACTGATTCAAGCCTGAGCTATTATCGGTTCTCAATAAAGAGAAGTGTAAAATAAATACAATAGTCATAAGAGCGCAGCCCACCTTTTTTATTCCTGGAACTGATTATAGAGATGCCATAGAAAGAAAGCTTTCAACAAGTTATCTCTAATGATTGCTAATTTCTTTTCAGAGGGATGCAATCCAGTCATAGATGACTTCAATGACAAATACACTAAAAACACTTTCCTTCCGCCAGTAACATCGCCTGCTGTTAAGGATCTAACGAACTTCACTATAACATGGATTCAGTCCTGGGATCCGGTAAGGAAGATCACGGCCAGTAACGAGAGAAAGAGATAGCATCACGTAATGGTTTACGTGTTGTGTGAGATGGTTCTCACTTAGCGTTGTAAATTTCTTGAAACATTAGAATGAAGTAGGAGTCCAATCCCCACAGGATTTTGCTGGTACACCAAAAGGGTCTTCGTGAATTTATGTGACAGCGATCTTTACCCAGGCGTTGGGAAAATGTAGGGCGTTTATTCCTTTTTTTTTCCCCTTAAATGCCATTGATCACCGTAGTCTCCGTTCTGCATACTTTGGTGGCCCTTAAACAAATCGTCTCCAGTTCTCTTCGCCTGCAAGAAAACGTCACTTGTATTCCAATTATTAAGATGATGAGGCCTTCTCTGCAGGGAATATCGATCAATACAATTATTTCTTGCTAAACAGAATGAATACCCTGGTTTTGTCTCGCCGACCATAAGTCAGGGAGTCGGGAGAACGGAATTTCTGCGCGTTTACCCAACAATAGCAGTGACCCTTATATGGAAATGTGATTTTTCTCAGAATAAGGATTGTTGAGTTTTCGACCTTACCTCCAGTGAAGCAAACTTTCGCAAACCTTTCCAGATAGGCGTCTGATTCGTAAGTTCACATTGAGTTCCATTTAAAAAGGCCTTTTGCGATGGCGCGATGAGTGCGATTTCGGTTTTTCAAGTTCATTTTTACTAGGAATTCTAACTAGCATTCTACCATCTATACAGAGCTGCGATGAAAACATTCCAAAAACATTGGTCAAACAAGTTGAATTCACACAAAAACATGTTTGTTTGTCACGATAAAGCAACTACAATTTTATTTTACGCAGAGACAAAATCATTCACGAATTTATATACTTCTTCCTCAGAAACAATGCAAAAATGATGTGTTGGAGACGTTGCTATTGTTCATTATTTTAAAAAACACCAAATCACTGTCTATCGTGCAATAGATAATAGGCATGAGTACGTTGGCCAATCGGATTGCAGTATTCTTGAGAGCATGTCAGTTAGATCTTACCAGATGTACAAATTCATTGTCTTGTTTTTTTTAACACAGAATGACATGATTGGTCCTCCTGGATATGGAGAAGCGCGCTTTATTTCAGTAACAACACCGCTGAACTATAAGATTAGGTTTGAGAACGAGGCCAACGCCACCGCGCCTGCTCAGCACGTCATCATTCTGCACACGTTAGATCAAGATTTGGACATGCGCACATTTAGGATTACTTCTTTTGGGTTTGGAAACTTTACCAGGAAGCTAACGAATGCAAGGGCTTCTATTCAGGTAAACGTATGAAATTTAGACAAATTCAACCACTGGAAACTAGCCACTAAACAAAAATAACCATGCGTTTAAAGCAGTAAAGAGAGACAGAGCATATACAAAAAAAAGGGGGGGGAATAAACAGGTTACAGTGGCGTAAACTGTTTTGTTTTTAATAACTTTACAGCTCAAAAGTTTTCAAAGGTTATCTCACTTTGTTGTTTGTTCAGATGACAAATTTTTTGGGTGTTTCTTGATGTTGCAGCAACTGTTGTTGGTTGGCTATTATGTTGCGCAGTCAGTCAGGGTATTGTTCAGTCTCCATCCAGCCTTCTCTATTACGTCATTTGGTGACTGCGCCCTTCCGCGACACCAAAAGACTACAATTTCCTTAACACGGAGCTGTAATTTTCATCATATATAAGACATATAAGAAAACTCACCGTTGACATTTAAAGCTCCGATGTGAATGAGGCGTGCAATAGGGAAAATTGAACAAAATGATCCGAGATGTCGTGACACAAAAAGACTTACTTATCTCAGTTGAAATTCTTATGCTTAACTGATAAGAAGCAACAGATATTAACATCCCGAGGAAGTAAGGACACTTAAGAACTGGCCGTAGCATGACCTTGAAAAGATTGATTCTAGGCGTATCCTTGTTGTCCCAAATCTTTCCGTGATGGAATCCTAGAGAAGGATGGAACGAAAACCCGGAGAATAAGTTTTGCAGTGCGGACACGCAAGCCAGAAGAAAATTGTCCAATCACAACGTTGTCCGAAAACAAAAGATTCTCAGACTTTCTTTTTTTGTTTTTAGAAATCGCTTTGATGGACAATCTTCAATCAATCCTTAAGTGTCCTATGGTTAAAGTGTCCGCACTGTAACGTAGACTGACCTTTACTCTTCGTGTCCTTTTTGAAACTGGCCACCGAGACACTGAAGCTATTTTATTCAACATTTTTGCCTTTTTTTTTTTGAATTTTTAGCCAGTTTTGGTTTTGGTTTTTTAGTTGTTTTATTCGATTTCAAATGTCTGATCAGCTTCTTCTTCTTCTTCTTCTTCTTCTTCTTCTTCTTCTTCTTCTTCTTCTTCTTCTTCTTCTTCTTCTTCTTCTTCTTCTTCTTCTTCTTCTTCTTCGTCTTCGTCTTCTTCTTCTTCTTCTTCTTCTCCTCCTCCTCCTCCTCCTCCTCCTCCTCCTCCTCATCATCATCATCATCATCATCATCATAACAGAAGCTGAAATAAGCAAGGCAGCAAGAAAATTAAAGAATAACAAATCTGCATACTCCGACAAAATAAGAAACGAAATGATTAAAGCTAGCTTACCAACACTGCTACCTGTTTAGGAACAGTGCCTAAAAATTGGTGCAACGGTCTTATAACTCCCATATTTAAATCTGGCGTAAGAAATGACCCATCAAATTACCACGGGATTTGTGTTTCTAGTTGTCTAGGAAAGTTGTTCTTTTCAATTTTAAACCAAAGACTTCTTGAACACGTCACTTCGCTGAACATACTCCACAAGTCTCAAATCGGCTTCTTACCTAAAAATCGAACATCAGACCACCTCCTAACATTACGAACTCTTATAGACAAGTACGTCTACTGTCACGGTGAGAAAGTATACGCTTGTTTTGTTGACTTTACAAAAGCCTTTGACTCAGTCTGGCATGACGGACTTTTATATAAATTAGTACAAATTGGCGTAGGGGGATGTTTCTTTAAGTTAATCCAAAACCTATATTCAAACTCTTCGTGTGCATTGAAAATAGGTACGAGTCAAACAAAATCTTTTAGCTATTCACGAGGCGTACGCCAGGGCTGTATTTTAAGCCCCTTACTTTTCAATTTATACGTTAATGACTTACCGTCCGCATTTCAAAATACTTTATCAGACCCTATCATCCTTCCAAATGGTACCAAATTAAATTCGCTTTTATATGCTGATGATTTAATTATTATATCACGATCTAAAATAGGATTACAGAACTGTCTCAACACATTATCCTCTTTTTGCAACTCTTGGATGTTAGATATAAATTCCAAAAAGACCAAAGTTATGGTCTTTCAAAAACGAGCGAAGAAAAACTCCAATCTAGAATTCCATATAGGTAAAGAAACCATTGATATTGTCCATGAATATACATATTTAGGAACCCGTATCTCCTCAACCGGTAATTTTAATATCTCACTCGAACACTTGAAAAAGAAGGCTCTGCATGCGCTTTTTAGTTTAAGAAAACACACAAACTTTAGCAAATTAAAACCTTCTCTTGCTTGCAAAATATTTGAAACGATGATTTCCCCAATATTATAATATAATAGCGAAATTTGGGGTGTATATGTAAAACATGATTTTAAAGCTTGGGACAATAGCCCAATTGAAAAAACCCACTTGAAATTTTGCAAGCGTTACCTAGAAATAAGCAATAAAGCTTCAAATGTTGCAAGCAGAAGTGAATTAGGACGGTTGCCATTAATTATTAATATTTATAAAAACATCCTTTATTACATATTGTATCTTCTGCGTAAAAACGAGGATACTATTGTTAAACAAGCCTTTCGTACTTCGCTAGAACTTCACTGTAATGTTAAAAATTGCTTTTACCATAATCTTATGAAAATATCTGAACATTATGACCTCCCTGATTTTGATCCTAATAATTTAAGTGAAGCTAAGATCAAACAATATATAGATATAATAAACCAAAAATATATTGCATATTGGCAACATACAATCCATCATTCTAAGAAACTACAATTTTACAGCTTATTTAAACATGATCATAAAATTTCAAGTTATTTAGACTTAATTAGAAATTCTGCTAACAGGAAAGATTTAGTGAAAATTCGTATAAGTAACCACAAACTCATGATTGAAACTGGAAGAAATAATCAAACTTCCCGCAACGATAGATTCTGCCCTATTTGTAACTCTGGTATAATTGAAGACGAATTTCATTTTCTCTTTCGTTGTCCAAAATATTCAATCCCAAGGGAGAAATTCTACAATCAAATCCAACAAAATTTTGTCGACTTTAATCAGCTATCTTACACAGAATTAATAATTAAATTGATGAATTCACAGAATTTTTCCGTAAATTCACATTTGTTGAAATTTGTCTCATTATGTAATGATTTACGTAATAATTTGTTATCAAATCATGCTGAAGACACTTGATTGACTATAGTAATTATTGCATTGCATTATCATTGTTATGATTTGTTTGTTCGTTTGTTTTTTATGTTAAAGCTTTTGCAATACTGTAACTACATAATTATAGTCATGCAAATAAAGCTTATGTTGTTGTTGTTGTTGTTCATCATCATCATCATCATCATCATCATCATCATTATTATTATTATTATTATTATTAATTTTTGTAAAATTGCCAAAAAAACGCTTGTTTGCTTATTTTTAAATAGTCAAGGATGAGACGTGTAATTGCTTTGTGGAAACCTCATGTCATGTTTGCTGTTTCATTACTCAGGAAACAATTGATTTTGTGTCGGAAAAAAATATCTACGTCCGAGTGCTTGCTGGGATAAACGTTGTCACTCGTGAAGCACGTTGGGAGTTTCAAAGTTTAGACCCACAAACAGGTCAGTTCTTATCACGTCATCTTTTGATGTGACGTTACTCTCTGTGACAAACATCCAGCTGAGGTTCGGCCGAAGTTGGGCGTCAACACAACAATCGATAGTTTTAGTTTATGGATAGGACATTGGCTCTAGTTCTTTCAGGATTTTTTAAAACGTGACTACTAAAAATTACTGCATCTCAGCAGAAGAAGGCCAAAACGCGGTCTTGTTGTTCCGACAAGTCTGGAGATTAGGCGAATAAACAATAGCTGCAAAATTCGCTTTTAACAGAAAAGAATAAAACGGGAGTGAAAATCCATTAAGACCGCTGGAGCGCCTAAAACATTGTTTGAGGGTGATTTGTAGAAAGCAAGAAAGGCTAAGAGCCTCGTTATGCTCTCTTGCGGTTGTAAAAAGAAGTGTAGGTTGATGAATGGAATAGAGCGAACTTAAATATTTCGAACATCGCATATCATCATTGCACGATACTCTGGTATCAATTATTAAACAAACAGGAGTTGAAAAAATTGAAAATAATTGCTTATCAACTTTTTTTGGCCCTTGTGTCTTTGTATTTAGCTCTATTTAGTGTAAGCGAGGATCGCACAGATGTCCATGAAGGCGTCTTTCTTGGCTCAGCATTTTTTCCCCTTTTTCTTGCAGGTGAGCCTCCAGATGACCCACGAATCGGTTTCCTTCCTCCGAACAACGGTACAAGTGGTCAGGGATTTGTAACTTTTACAGTTGGTCTAAAGAAGAACTTACCATCGCTGACGCGGATTGACGCTCAGGCCAACATCTATTTTGACAAAAACGAGCCTATTGAAACCCCTCCAATCTTTAACACGGTAAGAAAAACAACTTTGAATTAAAGAGAACTATTGGTAGTAACTGTGAATGTGTGTATGTGTGTAAAAAATATTAAAAGAAAAAGGAATATATTTATTATTAATGAGCTTTTTCTTCTTTCCGCTCCCTATATTTAAAGGCTCATGCTACGTACATACATAGGAAGCAACGTGGCCAAAAGATGAGCGCGTCGGAACTCTGCTTTCATATCATATCAACAGACGTAGATCTGGGAGTTTGTTATCCACCACAGTTGATAACACCGCGAGCATTTCATTCTAATTCAGTAGTAGTTTATTTATCTAATAAAGACCTCTGTCCCCGCCAACCCAAAGGAAAACAATTAATTTTAATGTTATACTTTTATAAAATGAAGTAGTGTCTTTTGTACTATACCAATACATTAATTAATTTTCCCCTTAATTGTGCAATCTTAGATTGACAGTTCACCCCCTTCTTCCAATATATCTGCTGTACGTGACGTCATGAAGGTTGGAATTCTGGCCGTGGACATAGACACACAAGATAAGGGATCTGGGGTGAAGTCAGTAGACATGTACTACCAAAAAATCACAGAGAGTGGTAAGCTGTTTCTGTTTATTTTTCCCTCTTCTATATAATTTTTGTTTTCTTTGATTTTTTTTTTTCGTTCTTTTTTTTTCGTTCTCTGCTTAATTCATGAAATTCCAAGGAAAAATGAAGACCAATTAATTCATGAACTTTGTTTATTTCTAGATAAAAGCTATGTTCAAAAGGCCCCGCCTGAAGCCAAACCGGATCGGACTTTGTTCTGCTTAAGAACAGAATCGGCGCTTTCTTTATATAAACTCTACAATGAACTAAAGGTTGGTCTCGTGTACAGTATGAACAGAAATTCGGACCGTATCGGAAGTTAATAATATAGAAAAGTTATCCTGAGACGAAAGTAAGGTGTGAAGATCTCTCCTCTCACTCAATTGTTCAAAGTTCTGTGCCGTTTGTTCACACGATGCCCAACCTCACGAAATGTTATCCGTTAAGGTGTTTAGTTTGTACCTTACAATGTATATGTTTAGTTTGTTGGAAGTTTCACTTTGTCACTTTAAAATTATATAATAGCGACATCGAAATATGGTGCTGAACGTTTTCCGCTGAGTTTTTTTCTTAAATGTATACCTGAATTTAACCTGATTTGTTGATATGGAAAAAATCAAAATAGAGTTAGAGCTGCTGGTGGTGATGCTAATGATGTTGACGATGGTGATACTGGTGGTGGAGGTGCTGTTGCTGATGATGATGCTGGTGACAGTGATTAAGATGATGATGATGATGATGACGATGACGAAGACGACGATGATGATGATGGTGATGATGATGATGAGGTGGAGTTGGTGGGGATTTTGATGGTTGTGGTGGTGATAGTGATGTTGGTATGGTGGTGGTTGTGGTGATAGTGTTGGTGTTTTTGGTTGTGGTGGTAGTGGCCGTGATGATTAAAATGGTAGTGGCAGTGATAAAGGTGATGATGGTTGTGATGGTGATGATAGTGCTAGTACTAATAGCTGTTGTGGTGGTGTTAGTGATGATGATTGTGGTGATAATGATGATGGTGATGATGATGATGATGATGATGATGATGACAATAAGGGTCCCTATTGTCTTTACTCTGGTGCCTTCAGTATCAAGAACTATTAACAGACAATCGTAATCGCTTTAGACAAATGCCAGTCGTTTAGATGAATTCCAACCATACCGGTATTTTTCTCAGATGCTGCTCAAGATCAATCTTTTCTTCCTTTATTGTCTGGAATAACACAAGACACTGCCTTTCTCCCCGTCCCTCCTGGGTACAAGTACATGTTTGTGGCTTCTGCTGTTGATCACGTGGGTAACAGACAACCGCTGGACTTGAATAAAGCAATCACAGTAGACTTTGAACTTCAGAAACGTAAGTTTGTTTGTAAAAAAATTGTGGAGAAAATTACAAAGTATGATATTGTAAACTGTGCGCAGATAAAATAAAAGCAATTCCCGACAGGACAAATATCCGGTTGGGGAGCCCCTGCATCTTTTTAAAACTTGACGATAGCATCAGGTTCGGGCCCAGAGCTATTGATTGATTTAGTTAAAGAATTGTGCCCTAGTCGTAAGCGACTTTTAGTCCACAGGCGACCAATTGGCTTCGTTAAATACACTTTTCAAACATAAAAATCATCGGTAAAACGGTTACGAACTGTATTGACCTTTATTATAAGACAGCTTACTTTTAACGGACGGTGGTGGTGCACTAGTCCTAACACTGTCAGCCATCATCCTCGTATTCATGTTAAGTTTACGGCAATCCTTTGTTTGCACCAAAGACTGTATCATCTAAGTTCTGCAGTATACTTAAACGCTTCTATTCAGTAAAGCCTTCAATATACTCCTGCAAATTCGCCTCTTAATTTATAACTTTGAACTGTCGCATAGTTTCACGTGACTATATATGCGCTTCATCGTACAAGGAACTGATTATGATTGTGGTTATGATTATGATAAAGGATTCTTACTACTTATTATGCTTACGTTTTACATTGTAACAGAGTTGAGTGCAGTTCAGTTGAACTTTTGTGCAATTCAAGTAATTTAAAACGTATTTCAATAATTGTGACTGATTCCCATCGAAACCTGCCGATTTCGTTTCATAAATATTTAGCTCGCAGGCGAACTTCATTGAGCGTACATTGTTTCGTTGTCATTTGCAGCTTCCTGTGAACGACTCAACAATTGCTCTGGCCATGGAAATTGTACCGTTCTCAATTTCTGTATTTGTGAAGGTGGCTTTTACGGGATCAATTGCTCCTTTGGTAAGTACCTCGCTTCCATTTTCAGTAAAGTGGTTAATAAAGGTAAACGGTTTAGCGCGCACATGAGCCAAAGGCCCAAACGGCCAGAGCTTATCCCGGTTTCATTAGCATGAAGCATATCAAGGAGTATTGCTACTCCCCCCAGGACGGGATTCTAGTCCATCGCAGGGTACCCCCATCAGTATGTCGCCGTTACCCATCTATACATCTGGGTGAAGAGAGACAAAGTGGACCTCCAGATCAGGAGTTTGAGGTGTTAACCGCTGGGCCACACAAGCCTCCACAAAGTGGCTAACAGAAACGTTTTGAAGATATTTCCATTTGTCATGTTTTTCAGTCAAGTAATACGTAGTAAGAGCACGTTCATTTATTTTGCTTTTTATTCCCTCAATATTGTAATATGTACTGGCGTTCTGGGTTTCTAACCGGCGTGAATTTAAGAGGTTTTTACGGATTATTCCTTTCCCGAAGCGGTTTTAACTGCCTTTTTGAAATGATTGGCTGGATAATCCCTGCAGCGTCTCCGGACTAATCAAAAGTGCAGTGAAATCTTCATCGCAGGTGCCTTCTCGCGGTTTGCGTGGTTACCATGCCACAATCATGCTTAACGTTCTGATTGGTTCATTTGCATCAGTGTCTGTGCGTACTTTGATTGGCTAGAATTTTAATTGCAATGTGGCTGTCAGCTACACGCAAGCTGTAAAAGTTTGCATTGTGTGAAATAATTCTTTATTATACTAGGCGACAATTCTCTGAGACACGACGCAGCGACAGGTTGCTCCGACAAGTTGCCTGGTGTGCATTGGACAATTTTTTTGTAAACCTTTGTCTTCCCGAAAAGTCAGTTTGATTTTGTGTGACTTGTCGCAGAGACAATGATTACACAAACCATCCTCCAATGGACACGAAGGAACTTGTTCCGATCTTATTAATTTGTTTCCTTTGCAGATTACCCCTTACGTTTCTTGGATCCGATCATGAATGTCATGTACAGCGATACTATCGAAGATAATAGCACCCTATTGTACCTCTCCGCCTTTATCCCAGATGTTGATAGTAGCAGCTACAACTCAAACTTTACCCTAAAAATTATCATTGACGGGCTGCCACAGGGTTTCACGCTTAATAGAGGAAACAGAGATGGAAGTTGTGCAACGCTGGAGCTTAAAGACTTTGGTGATGTGTTGTTAATGCCAAGAAAGGACTTTTCTGGAATAGTTAGATTGAACGTTACTGCTCAAGCGCAAACGCCAAGAGAAACGAAGCTCAGCAGTAGCCAGATTGAGATAAATTACGAAGCTGTTCCTGATGTTCCGCACCTCAATGTTAGCATTTCCTGTTATCACTGGAACAGCAGCGAAAAGATCATACCGGTCTTTTTAGAAAGTCAGCTTAGTGATCGAGATGGGTCCGAGAATCTGACGATCATTGCTTCTGGTTTTCCTACGTTAGGTTATCGATTAGTTGACAAGGGTGTCAGTAGAGTTAGGAACGGAAGTAATGAAACCGCTGCATACAACACGCATGGCTGGTTTATAACCTTTAACGGAACTTTGACACCATTTGTCCTTACTGTCACGGCCACTGCTCAGGAGAAGTCTAATGGTAAAAAGGCAAACAAGACTATGGCTGTTGATGTGTTATTCTGTGGTTAGTATATTTAAAAATCTTCAAACGTGTATAAGCACATTTAGGTGACTGAACAGTAGAATCCCAGTGAATCGAAATCCTCAGTTTCTTATCCTCCCGATATCCAATTATCCCAGGAGAATATTTAAAGATTGGTATTCAGCTAAAAATATCAGTGCACTGAGTTAAGACAAACACAGCACCCATTCTTAGGAGAGAAAATCGATAGCAATAGTAGCTAAAATAGGCATGGGTATTGTCACACGCCTCATAGTTTTTTTCTTAGCACGTGACCAATTTCCCTTGCCTTGCCCTTCTTTTGCCTCTCGTTGACGTTGCCGTAAAGAGGGAAAAAATAGTAGTACTAACAATACAAAAACTTGGGTCAGGCCATCTCTGCCCTCTGACGTAAACATGACGGTAATTTTTTTTATTACTTTCTTTTTTTCTTTTTTTTTTGGTATCAGCTTAGTCCAAAACTCGAGAATAGAACTCACTCAGGCATGTCTAATGACACAAATATATCAAAATAAAAATATATATATAAGTACATAAGACTGATAAAGTGCCGTTTTTTGGAGACAGTCCTAAAATTTTCGTACTTTTATTTTTTTATTTTTTTTTTTCAACTTCTAGTAACTTGTGAAGCAGTGAACAACTGCTCTGGGGGCGGAAAGTGTGTTAGAGTCAATAGCTGTGATTGCAAAAGTGGATTTAAAGGATCTCCGGATTGCTCAGAAGGTTGGCTCAGCTGAGAACTTTGTTGTTGGCCCCGCTCAAAGTTAAATTGGTTTTAATTAATGATAACGCTTTCAATGCGCGAAATGCAGGGGACGTTTGTTTGAGACTCCTTTCACCATGACCCTGGCTACAGACTGTAGAGTTATCCGTTAGTGACAGGCTTAGAAATACTTGCTCCGAGTCTAAGTACTGAGAAGTTATAGATGAATTTTTTGAGGTGTTCGCCATCTTAGGGTTCTGTCCGGTTACGAAGGAAATTTCAATTGCAGTGTCTTTGGTTTAATGTATTACATCTGTATATTATAGTGTATCGTTTGGTATTTCCCCCCTACAATACACCAGGGCGGAAACCCTCGTCCCAAATTAAATATCAATATTCACAATTGATTGCAACTCTGATAATTAGCGTGGTTTCCACATAATCTATACAATCGCTCCAATCACCTGAGGGAAGGTCAGCAGGCTTAGGGAATGCACAAACTAGCTGATCTTTACCAGCCATTTCTATGGAAATCAAGGTAAATGGTTACTGGCGTGTGTTCCCGACAAACCGATAATTTTTATTCATCGTAGTATCTGTAACCCTTTGGTTGTTGTTACTGTTGTAGTTTCTTGCGAACAAGTGAGTAACTGTTCCTCACACGGTAACTGTACGGGCCCAAATGTGTGTGATTGTCAGAGTGGATACAAATCCATTGGATGCGCACAAGGTACCATTTAAACTTTTATTAAGCCGGATGAACATTGTATTTTTTTAAACTTACTAGCTGTAATCCATGTTTTAATTGATTAATATGCTAAAGAACTAGGAAAGGCGAAAAGGGAGTGCGAAACATATTATTGACACATTATTTTAATTTACATGAATAGTGTCCTGCGAGCTGGTCGACCGCTGCTCAGGACATGGTAATTGTAGCGGGCCTAATGAGTGTACGTGTTACAGTGGATATAAAGGAATAAACTGCTCAGAAGGTAAAAAGAGCCTGTTAATAAATTAGCTATCGTATTGTTGTTCTCGTATTGCCTGCTTTTGAGATTCTTTCAGAGTCAATCAGTAGTCAGTTTTACCGTTAAACCACACTATATGTGTCAGATGCATTGCCAGTCATTAAAAGGTGACTTTTTCTTGGAAGCAACGTTGTGTGGCCCAGAGAGTTCTGTTTCTTCTTTCACAATGTTCACAGTCATCACTTGCTTTCAATAAAGGTATAAATTGGTAACCGTATTTCCTCTAATAATAGCCGTCCTTTGATTTATCGCCCCCCTTTGACAGAAATATTTAAATAATCGCCCCAACCCTTTCACTTTCTTCTCTCTCTTTTATCCCCTGCCTGTTAATTAAAATTGGCACCCTGGTTAACAAACAAGCTTTCATTCACTGATTGTTTACAAGTGAATGGTTACAATAATGATCAGTGACTAGTCAAGCTCTGACGCCGAGGATATTGACATGGAAAATTAATAAAATCAACAAATTTGGAACTCATAAAAAGCCCATTTTCAGTTTATTTGATTTGATTATTATTTTTGTGATAATTAATTGGATGGTAAAAGAAAATATTTATTGCACGACTTTCAGTGAACAACATTTGAAATAATCGCCTCCCCCGAATAACCGCCCCCTAATTGGTGCGCAAAAATAAATAATCGCCCCCGGCTGTTATTCGAGGAATACAGTAATTGATGCGAATTTGCTGAAAAGTACTGTGGAAAAGTTGCTGTTGGCTTAATTCTACGTAGGGCAGAAAATCCAGGATTTTTTTTTTAGTGTAGAAAAATAGCTCACAAAAACAACCTTGCCTAGAAGTATGTCCAGAAGTTTATATTTATAGCGATGAAAAATAAATTATTTGTTGAACCACTGGATTGTGACATTTTATTCCTTTACCTAGTTACTTGTGAGTCGTTAAATAACTGTTCGAGTCACGGGAACTGCACCGGTCCAAATAAGTGCACTTGTGAAAGAGGCTTCAAAGGAGCAGTCGATTGTTCTGAAGGTATATTAATAGGCCATTTGCACTAAGAGGTCATGTGACATCGTTTTTATGAAAGTGAAAGTTATATGATTTTGCCTTCGAAAAACGATTAGTGGGTCATATCTTAAACAAAATAATAGTGATTTGGTTTCTCAAACCCGCACCATTTTCTTGAAATAACTAATTTCGTAGCTGGTCACGTGACCAAAATGTGATTTTTAAAATTATGAATTACCTCTTTTTGCACTTAAACTTCAAGGAAAATGTTGAAAAGATGATGTGGTAACGTTTACAGCACATCTGGGCGTAACTATCAAACTTTAAACAAGACATGAGCAAAAAGTAGTTTTGGCCGCCAAGTTGGAGGGCAAGAAATATGCCCTCCAACATAGCGGACAATACAAATCATACTACTTTGTTGAAAAATCATAAAATATCGCCCTTAAATTCGTTTCCTCTCAAATTTCGGGTGTAAGATATTTATGTGCTCTGTCAATTTTCGGCATCAGTAAGATTCCAACTCATTGCCTAAAGGAAGCATTGGTCACGTGACCTCTTAGTGCAAGTGGCCTATTTTAAGATAATCAGACAGATATTAAGACGAACCTATAAACCATACACTGTTCTCAAACCCCTAGTAGGCGAGGGGATAGTTTATTGATGGGAGACTATTAGTTCTTATGCGAGAAACGTTTTTTCTTCCAGCGTGTCAGACACCTTCCGTCTTTGTTCCGTTGTACCCCTTAAAAAGACCAACTTTATTTTGCGGTGAATATATTTAGGATGATACTACTAATCGAAGAGACTACTAAAAGTATTTTTAGATCTCTTTCGTTGCAACAGACAACAGCAAACACTTTCAATGCCTAAATATAACCTTTAGAATTCGGTTGATGCGAAGAAACGTTTCAGCTTTTTAGAAAGACATCATGTAGCGCGACATAGCCCCTTTAATTCTTAAAGCAGCCTTGTAATATACACCAAATCCCATCCTAGAAAAAACAAATTCTTAGGTGCTTTATCGAACGAAATCGGGCGTCCTGGACTCTCGCGGCATTTTGGAACTCACTTGTGCCCTTTATCTAAGGTACTTTCAGCGGGTCACATCGAACAAAAAACACGTTTCCGTTTTACGGGCACCTCTCTGTCACGGTTACTTTTAGACTTTGATCAGTTCCCAAGATACCAAACTTCGTACTATCCCCGTCTCTGTAATACGGACACCTTTGAAAGAGGGGCACTTGGCTTTGTCGCTGTAATGTCCGGATTAAGGCGGTTTGGGTTTATGGCTCTTTATTTACTGCTTTATATTCTTTGGCTAGTCCACCTAAATTACTTTCTGTGTTATTTCTCTGGCAGTTTCATGTGAATCTTTAAATCATTGTTCGGGACAAGGTGATTGTGTCGGACCGAACGTCTGTACCTGTCATGCGGGTTTTAAAGGACTTCAGTGCTCAGAAGGTATTTCAGTAAATTCATTCAAAATGGACTTCGTTGGACAAAAGTCATAACTTCATGACTGTGTTGTTTTTCCTAACACTGCAGTTACTTGCGTGTCGTTAAACAACTGCTCTAATCACGGAGACTGCACGGGACCGAATGTGTGCACATGCAAAGAGGGCTTCCAAGGAGCAGCGGATTGTTCTAAAGGTACACTACTGGTTATTTAATCAACGGTACCCTTGTAAAACCTTGACATTTAAGCAAAACACTTGGAATTATTTAAACCTTGTCAACTTAAAACCTCTTTGGTAGTTGCCTGACGCTCTGTTGGAAATCCCTAATCAATAGTCTATACTTATCATCAATGGCTAACAAGTACTAGGATATTGCCATCAGTAGTGTAAAGCCCTCCCATTGAGGAGCAAGGGATGGTGCGGTGGTGAGAGCGCTCGCCTCCCATCAATGATGTGCTCCGGGTTCAAATCCCGGCGTCCACGCCATATGTGGGTTGAGTTTGTTGTTGGTTCTCTCCCTTGCTCCGAGAGGTTTTTCTCCAGGTACTCCGGTTTTCCCCTCTCTTCAAAAACCAGCACTTCCAAATTCCAATTCGAAGAAGAACCACTTTGTGGATGTGCTACCTCCAAATCATTATCTATTTATTTTATTCATTTAAAAGTAAATTTGCTTATTGACAATTTAATAAAAGACTTTCTTTGCAAGCTGTTACACAAGAAGCATCCCGTATTTATACCTCAGTTATTGGAAATTGTCTCCCCCGTTGGAGACCTCAGGTGTTTCCCTCTTGCGTATCGTTCAGTGGGGTCATCTACTCGAACTTATAAGGATTGCATCAATCGAGATCGAAACTCCTTGTTGAGGGCACGCCAATGGCGGACTTTAGCCTAGTCGACCTGCAACATGTCCTACTGTCTGCACGATCCGCGTATGATAGAGGGTGGACTACGAAACCAGACTGAAAATCCTAACGTCCTGACCTCGGTTGTTCAAACACTGGATAGCGCTATCTACCGGATAAATCACTATCCAGAGGATAAGTATTAGGGAAACCAATTACGTTATCCACTGGATAGATTTTTATCCGGTGCATAGCGCTATCCAACGTTTGAACAACCAGGGCCTGTTCTTTAAGTAATAACTAACTGTAATATCCATGGTTTCATTCCCAGTTTCGTGCGAATCACTGAACAATTGTTCAGGTCACGGTAACTGCAGCGGACCCAATGTCTGTACCTGTCATTCTGGGTTTAAAGGAATTGCCTGCTCAGAAGGTATTTTCTACATGTATAATCTACCCAGACCTGTCCTTTTTAAAATTTAAGGGAATAGACATCGCTTGACGCCGATCTTTTAAGGCACAGAGTGATTAGGATACACAGCCTTTTTTTGTTTTAGGCTGGCATCTATATGGTTGTTATAGTCAGGTCTCTTAGTGCAAAATATAGGCCGGATCGTTACAGACGTGACAAAAGTGTCAAATTTGGCACAGAGCTTCCTTAGCACCTACTGATTAATACTGGAGGGGGTGCCCGTTACAAATGGTCCAAATTACAGATAAAAGGGGGGTTAACTTTCACCTATAATAGCAGATTGGGTGCCCTGTGGTGAGTACTCTTCTTGTTTGATTTGGCTAAAAAACATTTGTTGCAAATTTTTAAGTTTTAATTTGGTAATGTTTAGTTGTTGTTACACTATTCAAAATAGTTTTACATGTACATAATACTGACTAGTGCCCAGTCTCCACACGGTAAGTGTGGCCATGTCCATTGTGCGGACTGTGCGGCTATCAGTGTCACTGCTAAGACTTGCCAGTGATAATATCATTACATATCAATTTAAACAGATCACAAAGCCAGCTTTCATAGATGTCATACAATAACATAAAACGCAAATGTATCACATCCTAAACGACAGAATCGTTAAAGTTTGACATGCCACATGAACGACCTCATGAACCGTAACTGACAACGCGCCCACTTTGTAATTGTGCAGCTAAGATTAGATTATAATTTGCTTCGTTGGTAACCCTGTCCTTGAGATAATGATTAAAACATGTCAACCTCGTCCTCAAGGGGAAAAGGAGGAGCATGGCTGGCACAGTTGGTTAGTACGCAGCCTTCGGGGCGAGAGGTCCCGAGTTCGAGCCCGGTGTGAACACCTTATTTCAACTTCTCTTTTTTCTGTGTAGCTTTGACTAGCTTTAAACACCCCTAAAACGGAGAATTAATGGAGAGAGGGGGTGAAAGGAGCGCACCGTTGACCTCAAGTTTATCACTTATTATTACTGTCACGAGGTATTGACGCAAGATATGGTCGCTTTACCTTTTTCTACCTTTTTATTAAGCCCTGGGGACGAGGTTGTAAAACATGCCTCTCCAGGAATTTTTAACACTCTTTATTTTTTGCACATTTGCATTTAAGGTCTCGGTAAAGGAAAACGAGGTGCCCACAGAAAAAAAAATTATAGTCGCGCGAGTATTTTCGTTACAAAGGCAAGTTATATATCAAATTAAAGCTAAAAGACTAAATTACCTTATAAAAGATTTTATTTCATCGAATTTCAAAAGGGGCTTAAGTTTTTTGCTCTCGAACTCAGAAGTATCGAGTTTACTGCTGAAGCTCCAGCCCTTTCGCGTTGTTAAATATTCGCCTCCTTTTTATTGCGTCTGATTGACAGATAATAGACCTAAAAAAGGTTGTGAGGAAATTTGAATATGTCTCGTATTAGCGGAATTATTGCATTTCAAACTAAAAAGTCGAATCTCGAGCGCGATTTACGCAAAGAAACTGACATAAAATGAGTTACAAAGGGAAATCGGAAAATTCCTCACACCCTTTTTGAGTCTATATCATTATCCATCATATCTGAAAGTTTCAAAGCTATAGCTTAAAACCTGTCCCGACTGGAGGTCGGAGAATTTTGATTTTTGCGTCTAAAATAGAGTGAGAGAAAATCAGCTCTAAAGATTTAGCGCGAGGTCCACGATTGGCTGGTTAGCTCAGAAAAGGCTCATTTTAGAAGGGTTAAAGAGCACTTTCTGATTTTCTTTTTCTGCCAAAATTAAAATTTAGGACTCCCTCATGCCAAAAATCCAAAAAAAAGCAAAATCTAGCAATGTACTAAAATTTTCATTTACCGAGACCTTAAAAAGAAGTGTATGAGGTCCCTGCATGCCTAGACTGTAAGCGGCTCATTCACTTCAGAGCCCTTGGACTAGAGTGTTAATGGTATATGCGATCTTTCAAAAAAAAGGAAGGTCGTCGCGTGCGTTACAATTTACAAACAAACTAACTTCAGAAGAGCTGAAATTTTCAGGAACAAGGCCTCTTTTAGCCAACCAATGATGCATCATTTATGAAAATGAATGTAATTTGTTTGATGCAATTAGGCGAATACCCCGTGGTGACGAAATCTTACGATCATGAATTCCTCAAGAGCAATTCAGTTACCAACTTTTCACAAAATAATGCTGTGGAAGATTACATAAAATACCAAAATAGCAAGGGTCAATAATAATTGTGGCCTGGTCCCTTATAATAATGGAGTGGCCATGATAAAAAGCCCATCAGCCCCAACTTTGACCACTCAAACAGATTTTTCACAGATTACATACTGCAAAACTTTGCATTCACTCATGCCTATGTTGCCACACCAGGAGCCTAGAAATCGGCTCCCGGTCACACCTTGTTTTTATTGCTAAATATCATTCTAAAGAGCTTTACGAAATATTTTGTTAGTAGGGGTGTTTTGAACATGATTGATATTTAGAGATGGTGACAAAAACGAACACAGAAAAAGTCACAAAACGAGACGCATGAAACAACCGCAATCTAATATTCGTTTTACATCGATATAATGGCTTCTTTGGCTGCTATGCTGACATTCTTGAAGATGGCCGGTAGTATCACAGCTCGTCCCGGGTTAGGTATACCGTTTATTACCAGTTTCACGGTTCCTGAGACTTAGGGCCTGTTAACATAAAGGTGGGGGACCCCAGGTAGGTGAGGTAACCTGCTTAGGTGGGGTAAAAAAATAACCCTCCTTTACATGCAATCTTACAACCCCGCCATCCTGGGGTGCAGTTTCTCAAGATTATTGAATGGTCGCTAAGCATGTAAACAAGAAAAATGCTGGCAAACCACGTCTACGCTCAATTGCTGCTCTTGCTGCAACCTTCAGTGTTGTGACTTTCTATTGTTACCTTTAATAATTATGTGAAGCCAGTCAGCGCCAAAGTGAATTTTGCGCGAATTTGATGTATCACGAATCCGACCCCGACTAGGCTGGGTTTCCTCACCTTGAAACGTTGACATGGCAAAATTTGACCTCAGCTGAGAGGGTTACCTGGTGTGGCAGACCGGGCTACCGACCTTGAAGGGTGACCCCACCTATCATGTAAACGTGATCAAATTAAAATGAGAGATTATATGGACACGCGGGTTACCACACCTAAGTGGGTTACCATTCCTACCTGGGGTCCCCCTCCTCCATGTAAACAGGCCCTAAAAGTTAGCCCGGCCCCCTTTCTACAGTTTCAGCAGTTAAACCATTCACCATTTATCATTTGAGTCAATCTTGTACCCGTGACTTGAGTCTCACTTTTACGACTTGATAAGCTGTTATTATTTTTGGACATGAGTGCTTCAGTGCCAAATGTAGAGGCTTCATGATAAACTGTGCTGTTTTTTGAAGCTTGGGCTAACTTGTTTCTTTTTTTCGTTTATGAGACCAGATTCCTTTTTGTCTGTTTTTGCTTTGTAAAGCTTAGACAAACTGCGGAAATTGTAAATGATATGACTTGTGCCACAGTGCTTGCTTCTCTGTCAAAACATGCACTTGCGTCCAGCAGATAACTGGATAAAGAGACACTGAAAGGCATCCAGGCCTATGTTAAGCTGAAAAATTAATTACCTCCCTAGGAAAGAACTATTTTGGGTTCTGTCATTTCGTTATTTGCTCTTCATGAATAGCTGTCATAAATCCCTGATAATATGTGCTACAACGGACTCTTTGACAATTTCTTTTTTTTTCTGAAATTTTGTGTGTGAATCGCTATGCCATACGCTTTCTTCAGCTTAAAGTGACATGTAATGACAAGTAATACTTGATAAATAAGGCTTAAGCCACACAATAAGGCCCCTTCTAATTGAAATACATTAGAAAAGGAGAAGAGACCCCAGAAGCTGAGTACTTGCAAGTTATGAAGCAAAGACGAGGCTATCTTAGAAATGACTTATGAAAATGTGGGCGGACTGTGGACTTGCTTTAAGGGCACAGTAATAATCAACTTAATTATACAATCAATAAGCAAAAATGGATGGGAATGCCAGATGTTTGAGTGAAATTGTTGTTTACAACCTGAGAATAGAATTCAGAGTGATTTAATGTATTAAATAACAATGTTCAATCAAAACACCACAGGGACCCCAGCAGGTGAAATTTGCGATAATTAAATCCTGTTTAGCACGCTTCAGTGGCATATTTGTAGTGGGCACCCCCTCTAATATTCACGGTACTGCAATAAGCTATCGCTGTGCAAAGTTTGGTGCTTTTGTCAACTCTGTAACGATCCTGACCCTAAGAGACCTGACTATAACAAGTTCAACTAATGGGCCTTCTGTAACGACAAATACGGTTGTGATTGACTGGGCCTCAAGCACGGTATTAAGTTCAAGTACCAGCTCCGCGACCTAGTGATTGAAGGGCTAAAGATAACACAGTGATCACTTGTCCACCCCCCCTCCCAAAACATATGTATGATATAACAGAAGCAAAGTGTTCGCTCTGATTTGTCATAACCTTCCTCGAAATTGAGAGGTCCTGCTCGTACTGAAATGTTAGTTCTCTAGTTTGAATTCCTTGTTCAAGCCCAACATGTTTTGCCTACAATGTTATTATTCGTAGGCTTAAAAACAATAGAAAGTTCCGGCAAGCAAACGCGACAGCTATGCACGTATGTTGCTAATTGCTAACAATTTATGATTTCTCTCATAAATAAAGTTTGATATGACTACTTTGTAACACCAACTTAAAAGTGTGTAATTATTGAACACAGTTTCCTGTTACTTGGTAAACAACTGTTCAGATCATGGAGCTTGCACTGGACCAGACGAGTGCACCTGCGAAAAAGGCTTCCAGGGAGAAGATTGCTCAGAGGGTATGTAGAAAAGTGTCCGAATCTTCTTTCTTGTATGGGGGCGACCAAGAAGGCGCAGGCTAATGTATGATGCATAACTACCGTCACGAAAAAACGCTGTACGAGTACTATCCCGCGGGCGGTTCCTCCCTGAAAATCAATTTGCTATTAGCCATGGGGCGTGCCGCTGAGTCTTTGATGGAAGCTACAATTAGGGACAAAAGTGTTGAAACACTTTCATAAAATAGCCCTCTTTTTACATAGTGGACATATCTATCCTCTCTTCCTGTGTACCCCCTACCCTCTTCCCCCAAATCAGACCCTCAAGTCTTTCATTTACTACAAACAACAATGATTCGAGGATGGGGGGATTTACGGCGTTTAAACAGAATGAAATGATTGTTTGTTGATAAAAACGGCGTTTGAGACAATTGTGTCAAGCACTTTTGTCCCTGATTGTAGACGTATTTTCGTCTTTCACGCAGGCTAAGTATACATTTGTTATTTCTTTTATTTGCAGTCGTTTCTGAAGACGAAGGTGGCATTCTTAAGAGCATTAGCACGCCAGCTATCATTGGTATCTCAGCTGGAGTGGTCATTGTTGTTGTGACACTGTGTGCGGTTCTCATTTTCTGTTGCAAGAGACGTAGAATGAGAGAGCGGCCTTTGCGTCCTCGGCCACAAAGGAAAAGTATGGTCTATTTGTATATTGTCGTCTTTGATTCTTTTCTTTTTTCTTTTACGATTATCTTCCACCAAATAAAAATGAAAGATTCGTTGAGAATCAATTGAAGGAAGCCTAAAGAGACCAGGAGCTTATACAACATAGGCTTCATCTGCTAGAGTTAAATTGCAAAGATTAATGGGACAAAAGTGAAAAGATAGGTAAAATAACGATTGGTGGTAAAATACGACAACAAGAAAGAGGGAAACAAATTAAAGAAATTAAAGGGAAAGGAAAAAATGATGGGACAGTGTGGAAGGTAGAAATTTTGTAAATTAAAAGGCGTATTTTGCAGCGCGAATCATGATATTATTTTCGGGACTAATGCTCTCCCGCCATTTCATACGTTGAAACTGACAGAGAGATTGGGCGATTCCTAAGACTCAATAAATGTACCTCTGAGCCTTCGTTTTACAAACGCCTGCTCTATGGGCTAGTGAAAAGGCATTTCTTGCTATATGGAAAGTATGAGCTTAGTGTAATACATCATACCTGCGAAAGAATGCTGAATTCGATAACAGATCAGCCCGAAAAGTGCAGCCCTCGTTACAAATGATGCAGGTTGACCCTATTTAAACTGACTTCGATGCTTGCCATCAAAAAAAAAAAAAGAAAGAAATATGTAGAGTGGTTGAATGTACCTTTTCCAAGTTTTTGCTAATGATCCGTAATTCTCGTGGAAATGCATGGCAAAAGGTTCGCAGACTTCTGGCAACTAAGATCTATTTTTAAACGTCCCTCGCTTGAAGTTCTATTCTCAACTTCCCTCGCTCGTATGTATTCCTTTAGTTTCCCTTTGTGAAATTTTAACAAGATTAATTAGTTTGTTATTGACTACTAACATAACATTTTTGTTTTCAGGTTCAACGGCAGTTTTTAGGCCCCCGAACTTACCATCAAGTGAATGGGTTTTTACGACAAGCGCCGAGCCAAGTTCCAAGGCGCATGCACCTCCTCCTCGGCCTCCTAGTCGTGTGCCTGTCTTCTCCTATCAAAACCCTGCTTACCAGACAGGTGCCTTGACAGAATAGGGCCACATACCTGTTAACAAGAGTTGTGTGCAGTACTTATACACTTACATGTAGCCTTGTCTTAAATCTTTTGAAAGATATTTCTCACGTTACCCTCAAGAACCTCGACCCAAGGCTTTTTCGCTAAAGACAAGGTTACAACCTCAAGTGAGGTATATACTCGTAAGGAAGGCTTCAGCCACTATCACTCTTGCTTTCTTCGGCATTACACTGTGCGTCCTTACTTTAGTGTGTGACATTTTTTTGCTAAGCCAAGCTTATTCAATGATCCTTTATTTTCTCTTTGAAGATCGTTGAGCCCTCGTATGAAAACAACAACCCGCGGAGAGTCGGTTTTAACGACCGCTAGCGCAAAATCATCGCGAAAAGAAAGCGTCTGTGGAGGTGCTAAACCCGGACTCTCTGAGAAAAAAAGGTCTACCTTAGTGGGAATGAGGTCTTTCTTGCTGCGTTAGGAAAGTTATTTGAGCCGGGAGTGCCGTTTCTACAGTGTACGTTGTTCTTAATTATGAAAGTTTGTATTATGGCGATAACGATGACGATAATTGTAATGATGAGAATCACCAAAACGATGACGACTGAAATACGATGACGATGCATATCTGAACAGTTTAAGCCCATGTAATGATGAAGACGTTGACGACAACGACAGCGTTACTAATGACAAGGCGATGAAAAAAACGGATATGGTTGCAACAACGTCGTTTGATATTTCATATTTGCAAGCTTCCTAATTTTGCTTCTTCTTCTTTTTAAGTGATTTTGATAAGGTGATGATGATGATAATTATGATGTTGACGATGATTATTGGGTGACGTTGACGAGTAGAAAACACGACCATAACGATTAAGGCCTTATGAAAGCGTTAGCTATAGCAACGGGGAAGACCAGCACAAAAAAAAAAACAAACAAACAAAAACATATTGCTTGCAAAATTGCTGATGGTTTTCGTATCAGGTGTTCGACGATATACCTAAAAACCAGTGCGTATTATCGTGTAAACTGAGTTAGCAAGGAACAAGGTTTATTTATAGTGTTATATCCTCACTGCTTACTTATTAACTCATCGCATAATATAGAAAAAATCCACGACTCCTTTGCAACAACTGCAACAGAACGAAATTGTCAACCTCCACCAGGAGAGTTGCATCATGTGACTAGATATTTGAAGACAAGGCAGGTTGAACGTTATAACCGTCGGAGGATTAAACGTGTAACAAAGTGTTTGATGTAGCATGCGAAACCAGCCGTTTTTCCTCGCTCTTCGCTGCTGGAGACGTTTCGCGCGAAGGAACGTATGTGACTCAGCGACCGAAATTCCATACTGATGACTTAAATCAATGTTTACATAATCAATTTTACGTTTCTTCTGATCGATTTTGGTAAAGGTTGTGTTGACCTGGGAACGAGATCCAGCAAAGTCAGCAAAACTCAAATGCTTCTTCTAGAGAAGACTATATTCCACAAATATCGACTGTATTGTTAGAGATTTATTGTCTATCATTCGTAAACAATGGCTAAAACAATGTAACTACTCCGTCGACCAATGAGCGCTTCTGACCTTATTCCAGACAGATTTTACGTCATCAGTATGGAACTTCTTTCGCCGAGTTGCAGACGTTCCTCCGTGCGAAACGTCCCCAGCGGCTAAAAGCGAGGAGAAACGGCTGTTTTCGCAGGCTATGCTTGGTGAGGCCTTGGTTAGAAAATCTTTTGGGTTGTATTTGCAGAAATCCCTGCAGGGATAAAGCTGAAGCAAAAAATAGAAAATTACTATTCCCATCAGTCCATATTTAACCCAAGGAAAAACTAGAACTTAGTCGAAACATAATGCATACAAACCTCCTGATAGGAAAGGTCACGTATTCTGCTATAATTTAGTTCACTATCAAGTCTTGTACTTTGCGATACATTTTTTGAAGCGTGATCTCACATTCTTACCAGCGTATGTATACAGTAAAATCATTGATGCTATTTTTGATTGATCAATTAAATTGGCATGATAAAATTGGTCTGTAACTCGCTTTACGTCTTCTCTATTTAAGTACACCGCAAGAGAGATTTCGTTAACTCGTGACTTGCCCACGTTTGTCAGAAACTGGGATGCATTAAATGGCTTAAAATCAGTTTCAGTGAGGTTCAAAAAAGAGAGAAATCTCTAGAGAGCGGATCCCATGTATATTAAGAGGACACGAGCGTCAGGGTTTTAAAAAAATTCTTCGTTCGTGTCTCGCTTAATGCCAAAGCCGCTTTCGCGTTCACGTAAATATTGTCACGAATCACGAATAAATCAAAACTTAAATCACATTTCACGAGAAAAAATGCAAAATTTGCAATTTTGTCCCTTATGACTGGGAGTCCGGTTAGAATTTTGATATATCGAAATTTCTCGGGTGGCTATGACGGGCGTGTGCGCTCGAATTCGACGATCTCACGGAAAAAAATAGGAGACCGTGAACAGTGTACAACACCTCCTATTATGAGCTTTTCATAGCCCACTCGCATTCAAATTTGCTAATTCTGAATACCCTTCTCACCAGGAATTCGACTGGTTGTGTTAGGGAACCAAAATTATAGAGGGACGTCACAAGGTGGCATATCATAAGATATTCCTAAACTATTCTTTTGGTAGTGACTGGAATGGATACGTCAAAATCAGGTTGGACACCTTATGTTTATTACATAGCTGTATACTCTAAACCACGCTATACTATATTTGTTCGAATTTTTTGGTCACATTTTTGAGAAAAGTGGGGAAATCAGAGTAGGAGACAGCTGTGCGAGGAAAAGAGTTGAATATAGGGCTTAGCACCGAAGTACAGTGATTAGGGTTAAGCACTGCTTTAAAAACGGTTAGCTCCCAATAATGTAATGATCAATGCCATGTAAAGTGCGTTAAAATTAACCGGTGTCGGCAGTTAGCCCTTGATGGTGTTGCGGATATACGGATGTGGATTATTCATCAAATGATGCGGGTTAAAGTCCTACATACTACCTACTGTTTTCTTTCTTCTCTTACTTATTACTTTAAGTTATAAGACTCCTATTATGTATTTTGAGTGAAGATGACAATCTGACTTTAGGGTATCCATTCTAGTCACAAGCCTACTGTTTGGGCCAAAGTGGTCGTACTAAAGACGTGGACTAAACGTTCCTCTAAATCAAGCTTAGTGTAACAGTAGTCATCAAGATTTAGCAAACATTGTACATATGGGTCATTTTCTTGATGACGTCATTGTACGGCAACTTTAACCTCATTCCCAGGTTCCTTTCTCTTTCCCTTGAAAATGACAATTTCTACCACGTGCAAAGGTTTTGCCTACAGGGCGTCTTCACTCTCATGGCCATTAGCTCTTCAAATTTATTGCAAAAAAAGAAAGTTTTTACATAGCGGATCCGAAAAAGGTTAAATTCCCACAGGAGCTCACAGGACTGGTTTGGGGCGCCATCATGGTCGCTGATTTATTGCGTTTTGGAATACCAATAGGGACATTACGAAACGACAACGATGACGTCAATGAAAACTTCGCTGAAAAGTAGTATAGACTCCGCATCCTTTCAAACCATTTCGCAATTATCCAAAGTCGCTCAGTTACCTAACAGAAGGAAATTTGTGTTGGAGATGAAGAGAGGGGGGCCGCGCCCGGGTTCAGACAGAGATGGGAGAATTTATCGTCTTGCCGTTCCCGTCCTGAAAAAAAAACTTAAAATTTGGTCATTTCACGTTGTAGTTGTGCGGGGACGGCAAAGAAATATACAAAAAAGGCTTAATGCACGCGCAGAGTTGTTGTTGTTTTTTTGCTGACTAAACCTACTGCTTTTTGACGTTGCCATCGCCGTTGTAGTTTCGCAAGGTCCCTAATATGGCCGACGTGACGTCTACCGAAAACGCTTTAGTTGTCGTTTACTGTTCTTTGTATTTAAACAAAAATATAATAAGTAGTTTCATGCAAAATTCAAGCTAATTTATGCAACAGGATAAATTGGAGTTAATGTGATAACCATAAACCCGCCCTTACCAGTAGTGGAATCAGCTCACTTCCTTTCAGGGGTCACTTCCTGCATGTGACCCCTGTCACACTAATTGTTTCGCTCAGCCAATTAGATGCCAGCTATCACATCTACAGTTGATGCCTATATTTTCGCGCCTAGCTCAGCAAAATAGCACTTCATATTCTTCTCTTCGTGGAACAAAATATTTGTTACTTATAGCCTGGATTTTTTCTTGACGAATTGGAATTTTTGCTAAGCTGTAATGACGAGATCACCGTTTAGGAAGGGTTACCTTGATCTTCCAACTGCATGCAAGCCCTAGGCGTTGGAGTTTTTCTGGACAGACTTTCCACGAAGAGATGTTGCACCGCCGCTCTTGGTCCAACTCCGTCCTTGGAACATTGATCTACAATCGTGCAACCCTCGTCTCGAATGTCGCTGCTTTCTCCTCTTCTTGAACTTTCGATATCCTCTCGCATGTACCGTCACTCTAGCCGTTTCGACTCTCTCGGCTGGCACTTCACAGTCAAGGTTCCTCTGCAGCAAATCATCTTAGCCCAGTGTGTCTTCCTTTGGGATCAGAGTTGCTCTCTCATGATTCAGGTGCGGTATTTTTCTGGTTTATCGATAGTTAACTTAATATTCTTATTATATTGTGCCTCGAACGACATCTATTTTTGCAATATTGTGTGCATGCGACTGTAGTGAGAGCTTTGAGACATGGAAAGTTATTTATGAGTTCACTTACTGTATTTTGAAGAAGGACTTGGCGCCGCGGCCTCTGAAATTCACTTTATTCAAGTCCAGGGGATTCAAGTAAGCATGTCCGTGCTTTTATTATGCTCTTACTATGGAGTAAGAAAGAATACCGACTGTTAAGGGACTGGTCAAAAAGTATGGGGGTGGGCCGGAGCATTTGGAAAATTTGGAAATGTGGTTGATAAAAAACACATGACCCACCCCCACCCTTCGGCACAAAAATGACTGACCCACCCCTAAAGCAAGGT